AATCACCTAAAATTTAAGTTGTTACAAAACTATACTATGAACGTGCCTGCTCATTTAGGGCCAACCCAATTTTCAAAGGTTGTTTCCCAAAACGCTGTTCATGATCAGATAGCCAGCGGTCGTAGTAGCCCTAAAACTAAATAATTATCGCTTTTTCGAAAAAATCAGTTCCTAAAGGATCTCTGCTGGTTGACTCGATTTTTTTGGGTCCAGACAAACAATTATCCGGCTAATCGATTAAGGAGACGCAGAAGGCATGGTTGTGGATTCCAGATGCGTTTTTAAGCGCTCTGTTATGCCCGAAAATCCATAGCGATACCTTGTCCGCCACTTTAAAGCTCACACTCACCATTCCATGGCCTAATCGGTGTCCACATTTCGTAAAAGCCACCCCGGGAGTGAGCACGAGATCGAGGGCTCCTGGAAATTGAGCCGTTATCCTGTCGTAGTCGATTAAACCGACCTGTCTCGATGTATTCCTCTGCCTCGCTATTTTGTGGGTGTTGTCTAATATTCCATAGCGTAGCGTCGAGATTCTAAACTATTTTTAATCAATATTTTTAAGGTACAGAGGCTAATATTTTTATGAAAAATTTATTATAATTTTTTTGATTAGAAGTATAAATAAATTAAAAATCATAGCGAATTCTCGATACCTGAAATTCCGCCAAATTCTTCAGCCGCAACATACGCATCGTCGGGCATTTTCGTATAAACTTAATACAAAAATTTACTTAAAATAACGTAGTAATTTATCACAAATACGTCACTGATACAAAGCAATAAAAAAGAATATAGAAGTACATTTTAGCCCTACTCACATGCGGGATGAAGGTTTCTTTTCCGTCTTGCAAACATTTTTTAATGATCTCATCGGTAATTATCTAAAAATTAATTTAAATCGTTTACGGGCATCTTCAAAACGCTAAAAATCGCGTACCTCGTTTGCCGTGTTCACATACACCGAAACCCTACGCGCCGCTACGAATTCCGGCTTTTTGACGAGCGCCAAAAATACCGAACGGCTCTGGCGGGCAATTTCTTCTTCGGGGAGTTTTGAGAGTTTAGCGGCGATCTCTCTGCGAAGCTGAAAAAGGATTTTACTTTTTTTACACCTTTTTGGATTTAGGCGAGTGCAAAAACGCAACACACGCACGCGGCACGTGACGCGTAGCCGCGTATTTTCATAGCGTAATCGATTAGTAACCCTTCAGTCGGCGATCCGGAGCGCGTTGCGTGTCGCGGGATCATAAAACTATAATGTAGCCATATCCAGGCCTTGGCCGTCGTTCTAAAGGGACGAGCAAGGCAAAACTACGGATTTTCTGGTTCGTCTGCACGACCGCAGCACGCAACGCAGCTTGGCCGCTCTGCAAGGCCTGCTGTTACGCAATGGACATCCGGGGATGCACGTTGCTTGTCGCGCGAAAATTCATAGCGAATCCATAGCTTTGAGCTTAGCCGTGGATTTTTAAAGCAAATCCAGATTTACTAAGACAAATAGCACCAATAAATATTAGAAAGCAGAATTTTAGGGTTTTTAGAAAATTAGAAAACTTAAAATTTTCCGTTATCCCAATCCCTTAAAAATTACCTGAGATTTTGCGGCACTCAACGGGGTTAACGCCTTTGAAGAGGACATTAGAATTCGGGCGTAAAATCAAGAACTATCGAGGTGTAAAAAGGGTGGAAAAGGACAAACTCCGCCCGGCTACAAAGAACACCGCGCAGATGGCGGAGGATTGATAAGGAGTGGGGCGGGGGCTGATAATGGACAGAGATTGGTAAACAATATTTGCTCGACTTTTGGAGGGCATTTCCGGGAAATTCCGGGATTAGTGGTCTTCCGGATAAAGCCGGGAAGGGCTGGAAAAACGATGTGGTATAGGACTATCCCAAAAAACAAAATCTTTGAAAATATAGTCGAAAATCGGAAATTTCTGGTCGAAAAAATTTTTTTTTTGTATGTTTTTGATAAAATTTGTACTTTTTAGCTTTATGAATAGTTAAAAACAGTTTAGTCCTTCCCCCCGCCCCGATAATGCAAAAGCACCCCTAATTCCCTCTGCCTGCCCGCACTACTCTCAAAATTTGCATCCATTCTCCCATGGCGGTCTTGCAAAAGGCCCCCGATTACCGTACCCCGACCCCGACCGGAAGTACGCAACTTTCCGCGGCCCTTCTTCTCCAAGCCGGATGGGCCATTTGAGAGAAAAGGGCCGTCCGACACGCGTCAATATAATGAGCTGTATAATGTATGGCTGCGGAATGGTCGGGGCCCTCCATCCGTCCCCGACAAATTCCATTCCATTCCATTCCACTTACAAATTGGGGGCTTCTCGAATTCCGGTCACCAGTCTGTAGCGTGCCCCAAGGAATAAATATGGCTTGTAATTCTTTGATTTTCTTGGGGATACGGTAGCTATCGTACTCTGGCGTACGGAGCTTTCTTCAGTCCCATGTGATTACGGTAGTTTCTTACCTTTGATATTCGTTGGGTTACGGTAGTTTTTTTGTAATTTTTTGGTTTATTTGGAGATACGGTAGCTATGTTTTTTTTCTTTGGGGTTGTTCTTTCTTCAGTTGCATGAATTTACGGTAGTCACGATGTTTCTTTGATTTTCTTCGGGTTACATCCGGTATACATTGATTTTTTTCGCGTTATGGTAGCTGCAGTACTACGAGAAATCGTATTCTGGTTTTCGTGAGTTTACTGTATTCCTTTTATTTTTAGTTATGGGGGTTACCGTAGCGACGCTATTTTAGTTTATTGACTTTGGGCTACGGTAGTTTAGGTTTCCTCTTTTTGGGTTAGGGTAGTTACATTATTTCTTGCATTTTATTCGGTATACGGTGGTTATCCCGGTTTACCGTAACCCATCCGTCATAATCCGGGCCAAATTCGGTGGTTTCCGGTGGGGACTGGAGGTTAAAGTAAATTTAGAAAATTCGGTAGTTGCAGCACCGGAATCCTGTCGATTTTGCAGAAAATAGCTGCAAAAAATTTCTCCGATATCTGAGAAAAGACAGCTAGCCTTTCCCAGGCCTCTTCGGTTCGATCCGACCCACAATTTGCTGAAGCTTCCTCAACAATCTCTGCTAGCCTGCCCCAAAAAATTCTTTCTTTTCCTGAAGGATCTCTGCTAGCTCACCCCTTCCATCCCCCTTAAACGGCCATCTGTTGTGGATACGGTCATATTGTTTGATGAAGTATTCGCCCATAGGGGGTAACTGAAGGATCGATGGGGGGTTGTCTGTCTGTCTGCCCCCTCTTTCTCCCCCTCACTCTCTCTGTCTCGTCTGCCCTCTCTCAAGCGAGAGAGTATGGGGGCTCTTGACAGAGAGAGACAGAGAAGAGAGAGACACGCGATGTACTCTCCCACCCACCAACCCTCCTCCCCTCCAAATGACCACCTTCTTCTTCTTCCTCCTTCTTATATCATTAGATATTCTTGGGTATCTGTATTGATCCGTTTTCGGGCTTGGTTTGGCTTGCTTAGCCTAGCTCGCTTGGCTTAGCTTACGTTTTCTAAGCTACTCGACACTATGATCGATTACGCTATCAATTTTATACTATCCTACCTGTCATAAACTACGGGATTCTCCCCAAGCTCCCCAAGCCTTGCGGTCGTTTACGCTAGGGTTTTTGTCCAAATATGTACCTGCCGTAAGCTTTTTAATGTCCCAATTTTTACTTGGCGCGGGATTTGTAAATGTAAATTCCACGGATTACGACTTTGGGGCCGGCTTGGTTTGGCTCCGGGTTAGCTTAAGTTTTAGAAGCTAAGCAGGAAAGCTTAGCCTTATCATAAGTCTAACAAGGAGTCGTTTTTGGGTGGTATTGGAGTTTTTGAGCGAGACCTAGCTAGTTCGATAGAGAAAAAAATTCTGAACAAGATGTCGTTTTCCAAATCTGCTAACCGTGTACGCTGTTCAATAAAAATTAATTGGAAGGTCATTAATCTAATCATCATTTTCCGCCTGATCCGCAGATTCTGCGCTCTGGGTGCGCGTCAACATTACCCCCTTTACGCCTCCGTTCAGGCATGACCGGCTGGCCTATTGGTTGTGCGCTTGCTTCATAAGTTTTTGTCTTTTTTTGCCAGCGGGTTCGACTCCTCGCTAGTAAAACTCTTTTGCTTTTTGCTCGATAACGCCAATTTCGATTTCAGTGGCATCAAAAACCAAAAAGCAAAACAGTAAATCACAATAAGTTCCGAACCCTGGGGCATAATTTTGCAAAAGTTTGATAGGCGCCGGCACTATCCACTAGGCCACGATATCATGCGGATGCTGGTTCGCGCTGTGGACTATGTCCCGGGCGTGATCCATGGGTCGCATCCTGACGTCCAGGAATTTTTTCATTAAAATTAATTTTTATCGAATACAATACACGGTTAGCAGATTTGGAAATCGACATCTTGTTCAGAATTTTTTTCTCTATAGAGCTAGCTAGGTCTCGTTCAAAAAGTCCAATATCACCCAAAAACGACTCCTTGTAAGCCTAAGCCTAAGCCTACGACCAAGCAAGACTAAGAAAGGCGGCACAATTTATCGGAATAGTTTCTGACTTTCTCACGAAATTTTTCTGCTTTATTTGATGGATTCACACGGCTTTCAAAATTGCTTACGACCCGAAATTGTACTCATTTTCTTCTAGAACTATAAAAGATGGTTTCGAATTTTACTAATTTAATTTTCTATGCGAAATTTAATTCATATTTATTATATTTTTCCTTCTCCTTACTCGACTTTCCGATTGCATCATTTTATCTTTGAACTTGCCAGTCTTTTGCTGGCCATCTTTCTATGCCCTTATCGCGCATCACCAATCAGCCGCCGCCAAATTTTTGCGGCGCCTCACGTTTTCCTGCTGTTGATTTCAATCTAATACTTTTTTTATTCTAAAACGTTAAAAGCATTTTTAAGCTCCTGAATTCGCCGAAACAACGCTCACTGCCAAATCGGGGCTTTTGTGCCAAATATCCGAATCAGGACGGATGATGGGTGACCCGTATATGGACCATTGGCCCACCGGCTCGGGGTAAGTACTTAGTCTTGGCGGAAAACCTGGATTAAATTAAAGCTGGGTGCTTTGGCATTATCGGGGGCAGCGTAGAATTTTCTATGAGCCCAGAAATGCTTAGCAATCGTTTCTCAAGGTTTTAATCATATTTTTAGTAAAATTTAGCTATATTTACAGTGAATTATATAAAATATATAATTAAAGTGTATAAAACTATCTGAAAGAACTTAAAACTTTTGAAATTCCTGTCGAAATCGGCCGTTTTTGTAATTTTTGTCAAGTTTGAAGGTTTACGATTAGAGACCATTGAATCCTAAGGAAAATCCCCCCCCCCCCGATAATGCAAAAGCACCGGAAAGCGGCCAGAGATACCTGAAAATGGCTAAATTCTGGGCCCCCATGATTCATACCAGCCAACTGTCCAAAAGGGGAAGACAGTGTTGGGTAGTATTTCCCCGTTCTCCCCTGTGGCTAATGTTTGTCTATAGAATCGAAGTGGACTGGCTGAGTTTGGGGTGGGGGGAAGGGGGATCGGGGTCGAGTAGGCTGTGACACCCACTCAGCCTATACGCCCCGGGGGGTCGAGAAATACAGCGTAGATTGCATTGCAATTGGCAAGAAAACAGACTGAAATCAGGGCAAAATAGTTTAAAACAAATGAATTAGTTTAGTTTAACACGTTTAAATTGGCAATTTCAGGATGAGCTACGGTGAGGACGAGGATCTCGGCGTTTCCGCCGGGAAATATGCCCGCATGGAAGGGCTAGAAGGGGAAAGCCACGAAAAGGAACGATTCGCAAGGGAAAACCATTCCGAGGTAATATTTTTTAATGAAATTTATCGCTATTTGAAGAGAAAACTATCTAGGAGGGCGAGGAAAAGAGAGCGAGCGTGAGAGAGAGAGAGAGGAGAGAGAGAGAGAGAGATTGTGTGAGCGCGAGCGTGAGAGAGTGGGAGAGAGGAATAGATGGGAGAGAGGGAGGGAGTTGGCGAGCATGAGCGTGAGAGAGCGTGTGAGAGTGAGAGAGAGAGGGAGAGAGTGGGAGAGAGTTAGCGAGAGAGAGAGGGTGAGGACGAGGGTCAGAAAGAGAGATAACTCATATCTAATGAATGCCACAGATCGAACGTCGTCGCCGCAATAAAATGACGCACTACATCAACGAGTTAGCCGAGATGGTGCCCCAATGTGCAGCACTGGGCCGGAAACCGGACAAACTAACAATTCTCCGAATGGCAGTCAGTCATATGAAGGCAATCAGAGGGGCCGGAGGAGCACCACAAGATGAAGCCAACTATAAGCCGTCTTTTCTCACGGATCAAGAGTTGAAACATTTGATTCTGGAGGCAGCGAACGGATTCCTATTTGTTACTTGCTGCCATACTGGACGGGTGTTGTATGTGAGTGACTCGATCACGCCGGTGCTCAACTTGAAGCAGGTCAGTTTTGGGGTGGAAAAGAAGATCGGCTCAAAAGCGAAATAGATGTAAATTTTTTACTAAAATTGAGGAAAAGTGTGGGTAGGCTAGCAAAGATTATTAGAGAAAAAGCGATGCAACAAGCTGAGAGGGAAACGGCCAAGTTTTTGTGTTATTTTTCTATTTTGTAAGGTTATATTTAGTTTACTTTTTATTCTTATTCCAGACCATATTAGAGCTAAATGCAATAGATCGGCTATTTTATTGGTTTAAAGGTTTTAAAAGTCAAATTAAATTTTAAAATTTCTTCAGGAAGAATGGCTAAATCGTAACCTACAAGAACTCATCCATCCTGATGACCAGGAAAAGATTCGAGACCAACTGTGTGGCAGTGAAGCGGCCCTCACTCGAGTGCTCGACCTCAAGAATGGAAATGTCAAACGAGAGGTAACCTTTTCCAAACCTCCGTAACGATCCCACTGACAGGGCGCCAATTCCCGAGTGCACATGTCGTGCCGTCGCGGCTTCATCTGCCGAATGCGGGTCGGCCCCCTTGATGCCCTCCATCGTCTCCGCAATCGTCGTCCCCTATTCACCCATGGTGGACATACCTATGTGGTCATGCACTGCACCGGATATATCAAAAATGCCCCGCCAGCCGGGATTGAGACACATGGAACCGCGAATTCATGCCTCGTCGCCATTGCCAGGTTACAGGTAGGTTTTATCACCTTCAAAAAAACCCATCGGAATTTAAGGAATCGAAAGACAACGGAAAAAAGCTTCGTTACTTTGTTTTTTAAGGTAGCGTCAATGCCAGTTTGCGCCGACCCGAGCACATCTTCACAATTCTCGATTCGAGTAGCCGAAGACGGGAAAATGACATTTATCGACCAACGGGCAACGGCGCTCCTCAATCTGGCTGTTGATCAGGTAATTAACGGTTCTGGTTCATTAGCGGGGGGCAGTCCCCTTTCGCTTTCGCTATGTCTTTCACTTTCCCGCTCGATATCCCACCCCCCCCCCCCTGCTAAGGAACAAGAACTTAATTAGCAGCGGAATTTGAGAAATCAACGAAAAATGTCTCAAAAATCGGTATTTTATCTTCATTGTAGCTCTCTCTCTCCCTCTCTCCCTGTATCTCTCTCTCCCTCTCTCCCTGTATCTCGCTCCCTCTCTCTCTCTCTCTCTCCCGCTCTCTGGCTCTTGCGATGATTTCGATCCTTTTGCAATTCCTTAACAATCTCTGCTAGACCGCCGCAGTTAGAGGTAACCTGACGTAATCAGTTAGCCCTCATCCCCTCATTTTTTCAGTTAATCGGCCGTTTCTGGTGGGAGATGATGCATCCCCAAGACGAGCCAATACTTCGCGATGCTTTCATGGCATTACTGGCCAATAATCAGGTATCGTAATGTCAATAGGAGCTTCTCGTAGCCCCTTAAATTCCGTAAATCCAGTCCATTTCAGAATCTGCGCCTGACCTGCCGCGTACGCACAGATACAGACTACATTGCGTGCTGTATATCGGCCTATCGTTTCTTGAATCCATATTCGGAGGCGTTTGAATACGTGGTGGCAACGCATCAGACAATTCCACAGGACGACCCGGCGTGGCAGCCGCCTGTTGATGTATTTCCGGTGCGTAGAAGTTTAATGCTTTAAAGGGAACGCTAGAAATCTGTGTATTTTTCGATGGATTCCTTAGGGATTCTTCCTGGCAGCGACACGCAACGCGCACGCCGGGACGCTAAATCACGCCATTTAAATCCAAGCAAAATTGCAAGCTAGCAGAGATCATTAGACCATAAATATGAAAATTTTCAATTTCAGACGGTTCCCGCGCAGTCGGCTTACCCTCCAGTAGCCGCCGTGGCCGCCAATGCTCAACCAGAATGGCCACAAGCCGATCGGGATGGCGTCAATTGGGGATGGGGACCCAATGGGTTGCATCCTTTTCCTTGAAATTAAAAAGTAAAAAAAGATATAATTTTTTAGCGTATTCGGTTAACATTTCTCAATTTTTCATCGGCTGATCGAAATCGCGTCTTTTCATCGTCACCTCTTTTTCTTTTCTTTTTTTCGCCATCCAAAATACACAGGGCCACTATTTTCTATATTCATTGACCATAGAACTTAATTATAATCATTATAATTTTTGTCCCCCTACAAAAAATAGCCATTCCGCCCCTTTCCGCCCCAACACCACCCCGTCAATATCTAGTTCAACGTCCTCTGTGTGATGCGTGATTTGTGCATTTTCAAATCTAAGTGTGTGTAATTTTGCGTTTTTGACCGATAAATGGGATCATTTGGATTCCGACTAAACACACATAAATTATTTGACACTCAAAAATCACAAGAAAATCAGGTTATCTAGGGTTTCCAGGCGGGACAACGTTTCTTCTTAAAAACTCCGATTTTAATAATATCAGAGGCGTTACTGGTTTTTTTTACGTTTCTTAAACTTAAAAACTTTCTAAATTTTTATAAAAATACAAAAATATCGATTTTCGACCAAGAACGGCCAATTTTCAACCTTTTTCTGTGTTTATATAAAGCGTGTTCCACTTGAAATTTAGTTAAATTACGCCAAAATGCTATCAAGGTAGTGCTTAAGACGTCCTTGGACTTTAAAAAAAACCTTGCCCCCTAGAAAGACTAAAGAACCCGAAAATCAATAATAAAACACTTCATATGGATCATTTGAGCGTTGGGTGCGCGTGCTGGCCTGCGCGTCGTCCCTAAATTGTGCGTTGGTTACCGTACCATCGTGGTAATCTACGGTATAAACTTGCTATTCCCCACCTGGCAAACGGTTCATCGGTATTCCGGCGTCGGCGGGGAGCCGCGAATTTCGGCAAGTCCGTTACGAAACCATCGACGGAAAATGCGCGCGGAATCATTGGGACTTTTTTGGAGAGATCGACCAAGCTGAAAAAAGTTTTTTATTTAGCAAAAGCCTTTTTTAGCAAGCTAGCAAAGATTATTGGTAGAATTGGAAAATTCTAAAGTTAGTAAGAATTCGAAAATAAACAAAAAATGAAATGCCTAAAACGAAAAAACGTACTTTATGTGCGAAACGGATCCGGCGTATCTGGTCTGCGGCATACGCGCCGAATCTTCAGTATATAATAGATGTGGTGTCTAAAGATATCGATCGTAATTTCCGTTTCTGAAAAAAATCCCCTACGTGTTCATCCCAAAAGACGTCTCGTTTCAACGATGGCGGGTTGTTGAAGCCCTGATCGACAATCATCAAGCCCATCTGAAAAATTTTATTTTGGTTTTCGTACTTGTCTGTTATCGGCGGGACTAATTTTGACCTATCACTACCAGAATGTAATGAAATACACACTTAAGCAGCTTTTCTAAAAGTAAATTTACCATATAACGTTTTACAATTGAAAATTTTAAAATTAAACCTTTTTTGCTAAAAACCACGAATAGCACGATAAAAATACACCATAAAACGCTAAAAACTACCATTTTGCTAGGTAGAAATAGGTTAGATAGCTCCCCCCGCTGACAGTCCAGTACTGTGGTTTTCTGCGTTAAATGGATTCCAAATAATCATAATAATGAATAAACAACCGACGGTAATATTCCTGTCTATAAGCGCATTCCCCTCCCAATCATCGTCATCCTCCCCAAACGGATTGAGCATCACCTCAGACACCTGGAATTGAATGTGGCACCTGATTTTCTTTAGCAGATTTGAAGAGAAGCAAGTTAAATTCTCCCACCTTTAACCAGCCCATATAGAAGAAAAATTCGAGCGATTCCATGTAGGGAAAGTAAACGTCGAGCTGGAAATACGGATTCCGAAAGATTCTTTGATAGCATACCAGCTCAGTGCCCTTTGAGTCACGAAATGTCAGCTGGCGTGCGATGAGGGCCACGGCGAAATGGACGTGTACCATCAAAGAGACTACCTAAAAAAGAAAACTAAATTGTAACAGTGAGAGAGAGAGAGAGAGAGAGAGAGAGAGAGAAAACAACCAACCTACCGTTGGATATATCATGGGAAATGGCGTCCAATCATAGTTGCGCAACCATTCAAGGTTGGTTTTCCACGTCCGAATTTCCTAAAACAAATTCAGACGCTTAAAGCCCTAAAAAACACTCACATTCACGACAACCTGCTGATAATAGTCGCTCTCAATCAACCCGCGATGTCTCGCCTCCACACACAGCTCTTGGGCCCACCTGCAACGCGTTATGACACGGAAAAAACCGAAAATTGCTGTCGAAAAGCTCGTTTCAAATTTGATAATACCTTAACGGCACCCATTGCCTGGGATTCTCATTCTTGTCGTCATATTTCTCGAGCTGCTCCAGCTCCTCGGGCAAAAGAAAGCCTAAAATTCCCAGGGGTAATTTATCTTTTATCCTGCTTTTATTCTTAGCTGTCTTTCTCGGTTTTAGATTTAAAAACTAAACGAGACATCCAATTCTTTATTTCCTAGAACCCAAACATACCCGCCGCTACTATCGACTCCAACGTCGGAAATCGCCTGCGTACGCGCAGGGAAATGTCCCGGAAGAGGAGAATTTGCGCAACTTCGCAGTACCTAAACGGATTTAGCTAAACATTTTCGAAAATTGCTTTGATGAAAAGTCATTGTTTCGAAAATCGTAATTCCAAAAAAAACATATTTTCGATTTATTCCATATTTACGAAAATCATAATTTCGAAAATTTCGGGACTTTTGTTAATAGGAAACGATTATTTGAGGTGGTAATAGCTATTCATTTGCAAAAATTATGATCACTTTCGAAAACTGCTTTTGGTTCGTTTTTATTTTTGTTTTTTCGGAAGAAAACCCGGACCGACCTCATAATATTCCGCCTAATCCTCCGCCCCATCTCGCCGTGGCCTCGCACATATTCCGCCGTCATCAGGCCAACACTGGAAATTCGGTGGTACTGGGCTGTTAGCGGGGGGCTAACTTTAGCCGGTCACCGCTTGGAATCTTAATAATGAAACACACGCTGTTTTTATAGGTATTTACGCCCTTTTTAAATATAGAAAATTCCTAGAAATTGCTAAGTTTTTCGAAAAACTGTGCTCATGGCAAAAAATCCCGAATTTTGAAATTTTCTACAAAATCTTCAATTTCAAATACTAAAAAGATTGTAAAATCACACTTTGAACCTCTAGACCAGTTTTTATTTAGGTATCGGCTAGATAGCTACCGCCCCCCCCCTCGCTAACAGTCCATTACCAAATGGCTTCAATTCCTACTTGTCGATGAAGCCTATATTCAGATACAGATCCTTCCATCGATTGTAGATGATCGTGACGAAATATCCGAGCAAGAACTCGAGTGGCACGTAGACGAGCTTCCCCCGGAAAAAGTACACCACGTGCTCGAATGTTCTAAAATTTTTTGATGAAAAAGTGTCTAAAAGACCCCAACTTTAAAAATCGATACCTTTGCTGCCCTTCGTCCAGCGCAAATCGATAAACGAACGAAATGACGTGGTAGATGATCAACCAGACGAAGAGCTACAAGAAAAAGATTAGCAAGAAAAAAAGCGAATAAGCTAACCAGTGGCAACACGGCTTTCCAAATGCTCGACTTCCACGTGAAGACCAGCAGCCGGTAGAAGCGGAATGGGCTGGGTTCTCGGGATAGATTATGGTAGTTAACAGTCATCTGAAAATGAAACGTTGGCTTCCTAGTGGCTAAAATTAAAATTTAAGAATCGTGGGGTACTTTTGCATTATCGGGGGGAGGAGTTTCGTCATTAGGCTACAGTTTTCTGATATACCGAGAGAAAATGTTTCTATCCGATTTTTTTATTATCCCTAACCGTAAAAACTTAAAAAATAAGCTTGAATTTTTAGAAAAACAGACAAAAATATTGAATTTTTGAAATATGGCCGATTTTTGTCAGAAAATTCAGAAAAATTTTTGGGGTTTTTTAGATGACTTTCCATTGGAAATTAGTAGAATTTTAGAAAACACTGTTCAAATGCGTACCTAGAATTAGACGACCCCCGATAATGGGAAAAACCTAAAATTTAAAAATTAAATGAAAAAACCTTTCCAACAGCGCAAAAAAAATAGAAATAGATCTGTGTATAAAAATTTGCCAGAAACCCCGCAAGACCAATATCTTCTCAGCGCCGGTGTTACACGCCCCCTTTTGCCAGGCCATCTAAAATGTGTGGATGTTTGAACTCGAGAAGAAAAATGGCCGCCTAACTCTGGCAAATATTCGCGCCCTCCTTATTGGGCCTCCGATCTACAAAATTGGACAAACATCATTGCCCCGTGAAGGCACATCGGAACCCTAAAAATGACGCCGCCTGAATGGCCGTGATTTTTGAAAGCTGTGCCAACCCGAAAGGGCGGAAACGGGTCATAACTGTTGGATTAAAGGTGCTCGAAATGGGGCAGGCGACCCCCCGATTAGTCGATTGTTTTTCAGGGGGGGGGGGGTCGTGCTCGTTCACCAGGTTGAGCAGCAGCCGTTGCAAAACAACGAGGGCCTCGAAGTGGCATCGTCAAACTCGCTCTATATTACAGCTTCTTGACTCATTTTCAAAAATCACTTTTTTAATTTAAATTTATAGAAATTCTGATTTGCCAAAAAGACCCGAGAAACTAGTGCTTTTCCATTATCGGAGGCAACGTTTTTCTTCAGCCATCAATTTTTCTACTGTAAATAGAGAACGTGTTTTGGATTCTTTTTTACCAAAAATAAACGTAAAACCTCATAGATTTGTTAAAAAACAAAAAATCTCGTTTTTCGACGGAAATGACTGATTTCTAAGCTTTTACATAGATTTACCGGTTAAACTAGAGCTAAATTTTACTCAACAAACTATCAAAATACGTTCTATTAGGTTAGTAGGCAGATTTGGAATCCCCCGGGCCCCGTAAGCGTAAGCACGCTAAAAAAGAGTACCGCAAAAAAATAAGGATAGAATTTTCTGACAATTGTGAGTCCTACGATTGTTCTGATACCTATATCTCTCTGCTTTTTCGCTCTCCATCTCCCCCCATAAATCACCTTTTAACCCAAACGCCTCATTCCACTGATGGCCGCGTTTTTTGCCGGACGATTTCCTACCACGAAACCGAATACCACGACATAAAAGCGTATGGAATTCGGTGTAAAATCAGCGCTTTTTAACGCAAATTTTAACCGTGGTCCTTCCACTGATATGCGCATTTTTTGCCGGACGCTCAGCCGCGGGGGCTGTCCGGTTTTTGCGGTGGGTCAGAAAACCGGATCCGGCGACTGACCCGCCGATCCCCTCTATCGACTCGGAGCTTTACCCTTCCAGTCGGCGAACTAACTCCTAAATGCTGCCATTAACGATAATATTTCTATTGTTTGGTTCTCTAGCCAATGCCCTCCCTTCCTACGGCCCAATTGCCATTCGATTTCCGGTTAATCCGGGCTATTATATGCCTTTCGCGTTGGAACTGATGACAGCCGAGCGAGCACCTACGTAAGTTTTCTTAATAGTATAAAGTTAATTTTGACAAAGCCCTTGAATTAAGAAGATACTTTCCTAGGGAAACCGAATCCGATTTTCTCTAATAAAATAACGTTTTTCTAAAATGTTTGTACTATTCCTAACGTAAAAATCTGCAATTTTTATCAAACCAGATAAAAATCTCGATTTTTGTTTTTATAATAAGTTTCCCCGTTTAAAATCTAGCAAATATTCTAAAAAATTTTTACATGCTTTCTATTAGGTTACTAGGTATATTTGGAATTCTAGGAACCTATTCGGTTTCCTTGGAAATACTGAAGACGGCTAAATGCCAATTTCAGTGACTCGTCAAAAATGCAAGACCTGCCTTCGTCGGGGTTGATACGACTTCGCACCGCAAAACTAACTGATGAGGACGTGGCCAAGCGTATGTCACTAAATTAAATTTAATATTATAACAAACCTGACTTTTTTGCTACCCGAAATACTTTAGCAATCGCGCTCGATGATACGACGATGGTGAAAACAGGCGAAAGCAGCCCGTTGAAGGTACCATTTCCTGCAAAAATCAAAGATGTAAAAATTATAAAAATTACCAAAAATTGCAGGAATTCCCGTCCGAACTCGAATCGATTCGCCAGTTGGAGGCAGCGCTTGACGAGCATGTCGAGCAAAAGCCCGACATCTTCAAGCAGCAAATGCAAAAGGCGTTGAAGTTTACGGAGGAGGTTTTGACAATAATTAGGGTTCCAAAAATCTACTAAATTATAGGTGAACGTGCTGCCCGAGGTGGACGGAGAAGTTTTCGATGGGGATTTGCTGAATGAACCTGCTGAAAAGGTGTGTAAAAGCGACCTTGGCTTTAAAAGCTTAAGTTTGAGCTTTTCTTATGAAGCAATAACTCAAACAATATCTCAGACCATTGAAGAGCCATCGTATCCGACTCACGTTGAGCCACGCCTCGTCTCGCTGACGGCAAACTATGGTGGGAAATCTTTAGAGCTCATCCACAAGTTCAGAAAATAATCGAAGAGCCGACCAGTCCGCCGATTCCATGGAGCTTGGAGCAGAACAGGAAGAGTTCGAGGTTTATCACTTATTTTTACATTTTTATAGACTTCGCAGTTATATATTCCAAAAACCATTTTTGAAAGCCATAGTTTCGAAAATCACGTTTTCGACACTTTTGTCATTAAGTGCGACAAAATTAGATGGCTTTTTCAGAACATCCGGGCCAAGAAGCGTCCCATCAACCGCGACTCGACGGCCAGACTCAACGCCGAAACATCGAAAAACATTGACGATTTTGACCCTTGGGGACAGGCCTAATTCAGCCCCAGTTAACCTCACCACTCTTTCCCATTCTCATTACGGGTTCATAAGAGTTTTTGTAGTTTCTAACATTTTAACGCCCCTGCAGCAGCCATAAAACCATCTTTTATTACATTACATTATATTCACTATCACATCTAAAAACGAAGACGCATTGAGGCGAATTACTTGAGCAAGGAAGAGACACAACGCTTATTGGGGGCGCAATAATAACCCGAGGTAGAATTGCAAGTTACAGGGACACGGCGGGACGGGGACTCGTAAATTTTAGTGTATTATTTTGTATAATGACTATTAATCTCGAGAAGTAAATTAAATCGAAGACATCATGCAGGGTAAGACGAGAAACAGGGAATTTCAAAAATTATTTTCATAAGAAGCGAGTTGAGGGCGAGGATCGATAAAAAAATTCTGGCCGTTTAGAAGGTGTAGTCGCTCTTCGGGGTCTTGGCCGAGGCGAACGGCTTGCAGTCGGTGCCCTGGCTATGTCCGTAGGCTGAAAAATGGAAGGAATGGCTGTAAGAGAACCGGACAGATGGTCAAACCTTGACACCGCACACAATACACCCGGGGCTTCAGTTCAGCCGTTGGCTGGGGAGGTACCGGGCTGATAACCAGGTCTAGGAGGGACAGGGACGGTTAGTTAGTATTTGGTTATATAGAGCTCTCTACCCAGTTACCATGAGGTAATTTTTGGTTCTGGATCGTCATCGGGGAGAAGAAAGGACGACTTCCGGACCAAATCCTGTGAGAATGACCAAAAACTAGCGAAAATTTGACATTTTTAAATTTTTTTAGAAACACTTTTACGGCTTGTTTATCGGAAACTAGCGGACACGAACAGAGAAACTACCGTACGAATTTATCAAAAGGCGCAGATACATTATGAAAAGCGCAACTAAAATTCGTTTTGCCCTCCCCCGTTAATGATCCAGTACCAATATTTTCCCACCAACCAGAAATTGTAAGCCCCGAGATGGCCATAGTAATTCTCCAAACTTGAGCCTCACCCATCCCCAACTGAAGCAAGGGAAACAGTCTCACCTCCGGGCCAAGCACCGCTTCCACCCATTTCATCGACAGCGATCATTGAAGTCTGCGTCGGGCAATCTTCAGTTTCGTGCGCATCAAACACCTAAAAAAGCCATAGAAAAGCAATTCGTATCCCTACATCGCAGATGTCGCAATACACCCGTGGCGCCTTCTGCTTCTTCGCCTTCGGGGATATAATATCGCCCACGTCGTACCTGAAAAAGAAATTTAAAAAAGCCATTGAATTTTTTTAAAAACCTTTTGAAAAATTTTACAAAAACAAACAAATCCACCAAAAACCAAAAACAAAATAACCGACTTTCCGAGCAGCCCGCGTAATCCTCCATTTTCTTTCTGAAGATTCACGTTCTTCTTCTGGAGATCGGCGATGATCGAGTTGAGGAAGTCGGCCTGAAAATTCTTTGGTAAGGCATAACCAAACAAACTTACATCTTGATTGCCGGTCGGAGCGTAGCTGAAAGTAGGACCTCCAGCTTCGGCCTGTCTAAAAGCAACCCACTTTTCTGCCGACATGCAAAACGGAGCAATTATCAAGAATAACACTTACTTGTTCTCCAATTCTTCAATCTTATTCTTCAACTTCGCCCTCTCGCGCTCCCAATCAGCTTCCATATCGCATAGCAGGGTGCTAAACAAAAGTATTCAACATCGAAAAATATCGCACAATTTGACGGCTGCCTCCTTTTCTCGTTGTTCGATTGACTGTTCCACCTTGAGTAGGCGAGCTTTCTGAAGATATTATAAATATGCAAGTGAAGTCTTGTAAACATGATCATTTTACGATATTTATTAATTTTTTAATACCTCTTGGGTTAGCGCCTCAATCTCCCTCTGCAAGCCCGCATTTTTGGCTGAGTATTCGGCCAACTGAGACATCGCGGCAGAGGTCGCTACCGAATTCTGGAAACGCATGTATAGACGTAAATAAAAGATAAAACCTGTTCGCCCCGGGCCGCAGAAGATTCCTTCAAAAGTGCATTTTCCGTCTGAACACTAAAGAGAAATTAAACAATGACAAATGATGGTACCGTTTGGCCTCGTCCTCGAACGAGTCTCGTGCTTTTTTGACCTGATCGAGCTCGACGGTGATCGCCTTCTTCTCCGTGTCGACAACTTTCAAAGAATCTCCTAACTTGGCTAGCTCGGCTGACAGCGCGGCAAGTTTCTCTTCATCAGCCGACAAACTAAACAAAAAAATCCAATTACATAAACCTAAATTCACCGAGCCTGAAGCGCCGATTTCTCCGATTTTTCTTGGTTCAATGAGCCGGTGAGCTTCTCCATCTCGGAAGCAATCTGAAAGGCTACAGTAGAAAAAACGGTTTCCTTCTAATGTTTGTCTTCTTTTTTCGAAATTCATAATGTCGAAATTTCCCGGAAACCTGTTCCTGGTCAACTTACAAGGAGACGTTTTTAGGTGGGCACGGAGTTTTGGAACGGGACCTAGCCTATCTTGTGCAGAATTTTTTGCTGTTTAAAACGTACTTTGTAGAATTTGCGAAACGACCGGAAAACCAAAGTTATGAGGGTTTAAAGTGTGAAAAAAGGCCCAAAAGGCCTACTTTCGGCACCTATAAAATATAGCAGAATAAGTTTCCACGAAAACTAATTAGTGCATCTTGCTCAGAAAATTACGCTCTTTCGAATGAGCCATGTCACGCGGAAATTTCAAAATTTCGGCAAATTGCTGAGATTTCACATCTATCTACTATATATAAATTTGTAATGTCCGTCCGTTCGCGCGACCGGGAATTCAGCCAAATCCGGCATTCAAATTCCAAATTCAAATTTTTTTTCGGGCAGGGGGGGGGGAGAGGGAGGGCCAGCGCTGAACCGCCGCGTAGCGGGGGGTCAGCGCTGGTGTCGTCTAAATTAATCTTTTTGAAAAATGTTCGAACTTGTTTCATGAGATGCCTGATTCGAAAGAGCGTGATTTTCTGAGCAAGCTGCTAATTAGTTTTTGTGGAAACTTATCCTGCTATATTTTATAGGTGCCGAAAGTAGGCCATTTTAGCCCTTTTTCACCCTTTAAACCCTCCTAACTTTGGTTTTCCGGTCGTTTCGCAAATTCTACAAAGTACGTTTTAACCAGCAAAAAATTCTGCACAAGATAGGCTAGGTCCCGTTCCGAAACTCCGTGCCCACCTAAAAACGTCTCCTTGTTAGAAAGATTGAAATTTCCACAGTAATTCGACAATTTTGAAATTATGATAGAAACCCGCTTCGCCGCCTTGCGCGCTGGAATCATGCCTTTGCATGAGAAATTTGACTTTCCGACCCTCCCCTTCCCCGACCATACTCGCCCGTGCAACTGGCAACGATGAGGCAATTTTTTTCGCATTATGCACCTCACTGGACCCCAAAACTGAATAAAACCGGCTTTAACTTCGTAAACTTGTATCTTTTCAGGATTTTGAAAACGCCATAGGGTCGATTCCCCCTAGTGAAGGAGAATTAGGGCATTTTATGCACGGGAAGGCCCTCAAATCGAGCCTCGAAACTGACATCCACACACAGACAAAGGTACACTCCAAAATTATATCAGGTAGGATTAAACAAAAACTTTTTCATAACTTTTTTTATCATTTTGGGGGTTTCTCACCTCTACTGAATTCTTATCGTTGAGAAAGTATGTATATTACCTGAGCCTTAAAATTAGCAGCCGCGGTTCGCTGCTGCTCTGCTTCCTCCAGGGCGGCTTCTCGGTCGAGCCCCATTTGCATCAGTCGTTCCGTGAGATCATCCATTGCCGTTGTGAAGGTCGTCATCTGTTCACCAAGTGTCCGATATTTCTCTGCTGTAGAGGACAGCGCTGACTCGGAGGCATCATTTCTAATCGAGGGAATCAGGGCACCGTCGTAAGCAAACCTGGCAGCCAGTTCCTTGTAGTCCACCATCGCCTTTTCCAACTTGGTGACGAGGACCCGGTTTTCGGCATCAAGCTAAAAAACCATCATCAAAGAAGCGGAAGTTGACAGAATTTAGAACTTTCATAATCCAAAAAATTTTGTTGATTTGAAAATTCCAGATGCCTATAGACGAATTCCCTACCTGCGAGACACGTTCAACGAGTTGTTCGCGCGCTTCCTGGGTCCGCTTCAGGTCATCGTCAACGGCTTGGCGTTCGGTGGCTCCAGAATCTGCGGATGCCTTGGTAGTTGCCAATTCCTTGCGCAACGTCTCCATTTCCTTCTGCGAAGCGCCCTTCAGCTCTTCCAGTTGCCTTTTGGCAGCTAGCAACTCTCCATTGAGCTAAAAGCATCGAATTATTATGAGACAACGAAAAACCTCGTCCTTGGACTTGTTCAAGGCGGCAACCGCATCAGAAGTTGACAATTTTGACGTTTCGATTTCTCGCAGCGACTTTTCCAGCTTCTCCAGAGCGCCCGCCTTCTCAGCTTCAATCTTGGCACATTTCTCCTCGGCCTCTTTCAGCGACGACGCCAACTAATGAAAAAATTCTCAGGTAATTTAGCTTGACAAACCTTCTTCAGTTCGCCGTCAAGTTGAAGGCGTTGAGCAACTTCGGCCTCCAATGAAGCCTTGGCAGCGGCAAGTTGAGATTGCGATTCCAGCCCATCCTTCTCATGAGCAGCCTGCAGTTCTTTCAGCGCATTTAGGGCTGCCAGTAGCTCGTTCGATAGCTGAAAACAAGCTGATTACGCAAAAAACCTTCTCAATAACCTTCGTTTTCTCCTGTGTAGCGGAATCGGCCACCTCAGCTGAGGATTGACCAGCCGCCTGCAAGTCTGCCAATTGCTTTTGTAGCCGGGTCGACTCAGCCAGCCTCTCAGCTGCGATGTTGGTATATTTCTCTTCGGCCTCCTTCAGTGACGTCGTCAACTAACGGACAATTTGTTAATTTACCGTATTTCCTCTAATATAACCCGGGCCCTCTATTTTTTTTTCAATCACCCCAGGGGAGGGGATGTTTTAGCGAATATATTTTTGTGCGATTTTGAGCAACTACGACTATTTCTAGCAATTCAAGCTATTCATATCCGCCCAGAAACATCGTACAAAACATAAACAAACGGTTTCGCATTTTTTGCTTCTTACATCTTTGGAAAAAAATTAGGGGGGCTCTATTAGAGGAAATACGGTAGCTAGCTTCACGGACCTTCTTCAATTCACCGTCAAGTTGAAGGCGCTGAGCAGCTTCCGCCTCCAATGAAGCTTTGGCAGCGGAAAGTTGAGATTGCGACTCCAGCCCATCTTTCTCACGAGCAGCCTGTAGTTCTTTCAGCGCATTCAGGGCGGTCAGTAGCTCGTTTGATAGCTGAAAAAAGGATTACGCAAAACGTTCTCATTAACCCTCGTTTTCTCCTGAGTAGCGGCATCCGCTACCCCAGCTGACGATTGGCCAGCCGCCTGTAAGTCTATCAGTTGCTTTTGTAGCCGCATCGACTCAGCCAGCTTCTCAGATTCGAGCCGGGAAATGTTTTGTTGGGCCTCTTCAAAGCAGGCAGATAGCTGAAAACAGCAAATTAAAGATTACTAAATCTAATAACCTTTGCCTTCTCTTGATCAGCTGCAACCGAGCGCTGGTTCAACAAAGTAATCTCAGATTGTCTAAAGAATTTTTGAGATGAAACAACAAAAATAAAAACAAACAGAGATTTCATTATAACGGCATGTTCATCCAACTTGGTGGCGAGGTCCTTGTTTTCGGCGTCAAGCTAAAAGAAGCTATATTTAGAGAACCGAAAGCTGGCATAAATTATCAATTGCGTTAATTTGAAAATTCAAGATGCCAATAGACAAATTCCTTACCTGCGAGACACGTTCAACGAGTCGCTCGCGAGCTTCCTGGGTCCGCCTGAGGTCATCGCCAACGGCTTGGCGCTCGATAGCTCCAGAATCTGCGGACGCCTTCGCCGTTGCCAATTCATTGCGCAACGTCTCCATTTCCTTCTCCGAAGCGTTCTTTAGCTCTTCCAGTTGCTTTTTGGCAGCTAGCAACTCTCCATTGAGCTAAAAGCATCGAATTATTATGAGACAGCGGCAAACCTCGTCCTTGTCCTTGTTGAAAGCGGAAACCACGTCGGAAGTTGACAATTTTGACGTTTCGATTTCTCGCAGCGACTTTTCCAGCTTCTCCAGAGCGCCCGCCTTCTCAGCTTCGACCTTGGCATATTTATCCTCGGCCTCCTTCAGTGACGCGACCAACTAATGGAAAATTTTATCAAGTTAAGTTAATGGCGCTTTCCCATTATCGGGGGGGACCCAACGTTTTGCTTTGAGATCTAATTTTCAAAATACAAATGGTGGAAGTGTTTCAAAGTGCTTCAAAGTTTTCTTCTACTGAACGTGACAACTTTACAAAATTTATGTAAATTTTTATTAACAAACATCAAAAATATCGATTTTTCCACTATTTGAAAACTTTATGGTTTTTAGTAAAAATCGTTATATTTCTTGCTCTCTTTATTATATTCATTATATCTTTATTTTTACATTCTTTTATCTTTAGATTATAAGTTTTAGAATTATCAGACAGCGACAAACCTCATCCTTGTCCTTGTTCAAGGCGGCAATCACATCGGAAGTTGAGAATTTTGACGTTTCGATTTCTCGGAGCGACTTTTCCAGCTTCTCCAGAGCTCCCGCCTTCTCAGCTTCGATCTTTGCACATTTCTCCTCGGCCTCCTTCAGTGACATCGACACCTGATGGAAAAAATTTTCAAGTTAATCAGCTTCACGAACTTTCTTCAATTCGCCGTCAAGTTGAAGGCGTTGAGCAGCTTCCGCTTCCAATGAAGCCGTCGAAGCGGCAAGTAGAGATTGCGACTCCAGTCCATCTTTCTCACGAGCAGCCTGTAGCTCTTTAAGCGCATCTAGAGCTGCCAGCAGCTCGTTTGATAGCTAAAAATAAGCGGATTACACAAACGACGTTTTCAACAACCTTCGTTTTCTCCTGTGTAGCGGAATCGGCCACCCAAGCTGATGATTCTTTAGCAGCCTGCAAGTCTGTCAGTTGCTTTTGTAACCGCGCCGATTCCTCAAGCTTCTCAGCCTCGAGTCGCGAAATGGTTTGTTGGGCCTCTTCCATGCAGACAGCCAGCTGAAAAAAGTAAATTTAAAGATTGCTCTAATTCTAACAACCTTTGCCTTCTCTTGGTCAGCTGCTTCCAGGCGCTGGTTCAACGAAGTTATCTCGGATTGTCTAAAGAATTTTTCAGATCAAATAACGAAAATAAAACCAACAGAGATTTCATTGCAACGACATGTTCGGCGAGCTTCTGGTCCAAGTCGGCGTTAGTTTCCGGAGCCGTTTGCGTCCTGAAAAAAACTTTGAAAAGGTTCAGCACGACTCACGGAGCGATATCTACGCGCGTAACCTGCTCTGACTTGTTGGCCTTGGTCACATCCAGCTCCCCTTGAACTTTAGCCAGCTAAAAACGGCGATTAGTCAATCTTACGGAATTCACCTTTTCAGTGACATCTTGTAGACTAATCTCCATCTCCACAAAACGGAACTCCAGCTCGGAGATTTTCTCGTTCTGAACGGTTCAAAGATGATGCTCAACGCCAAAAAGGAAACCTTTTCTTTGATCTGATTCTCGGCTTTCGTAATTTCTTGCAAATCCATGTCTTTTTCCTTCATCAGCTGTTCGAGGTGTTGTTCCTTTTCTTGAAGATCTTTCCGTAGTGAAATGAGGGCTCCGCCTGCGGGCTCGACTACTCTCTAAAAAGATGCAACGATTCGCTAAATAAAAGCAGATACCTGTTGGCTTAAACCCCGTCGTGCGACTCCGATCCGACCGCTAGCCAGGCTACTGGCACCGATGCTGTTGAGGGATTCGTTGCTACCGCCTGCACGTTTTTGCTGATATCGTAACAATGATGACTTGTTATGCCGGCTCTACAAATCATTAATTATCAGAGGCGAAAAAACCTTCAATAGCTTCGAGTCGACCAATTCCGTCTTGGCGGCCGGCGCGAATATTCCGTACAAGGGCTTGCACTGAAAGTAGCGGATGCCTTGCACCGATCCGTCGTTTTTCCCATTTGGTTGCTCAAGTTCAACACCGGCCCAAATATCCTAAAAATGCCACATGCATGGACGAAAGAATGGCTTGCGAACCTTGGCGAATTGTGTGACATCAAGGAATCGCAACAGCCCCATTTTCCCGCCGGAAACTTGCACACGGTCACCGACATCGAATCTGAAAGAACATATTTTGAAATCCAAGGCAAGACCGTACCCAAATTGCGCAGCATATGGGCTAATAGGTGCAGATGGCGTCGAAACAATCCTCTTCAATTTGCCAGCTTTACAGAAAAGCCCAAATTGTGGTTCGCACTAAATGTCCATTTTCTAATAGCCTTATAAATATCGAACCTCAAAATAGCGGATGCCATTCAATGAGCCGTCGTTCTTCCCTGTAGCCTCGTCCAGCACTAATCCGATCCATTCGCCGGCAGCAAACTGTGTCTGTCCGATGAAGGCGATGGTGCCGACTCGTCCCTCGATCTCGACTCGTTCACCAACCTATACAAATTCAATGCGCGTAACAAAAAGCCTACCCCATAATCGCCTATCCGGCTGACATTCGATGCGAGGGAGGCGAGAGACTCGCCACCTAAGTCGAGAATATTTTTTTCACACCTAAAAACTCACTCTCTGTACGACGCATGCGAATTTCGGTGGTGTAGTGCCAATGCACCCTGTGTCCTGGAATGTGTTTATTTAGATTTGTTTAGACTAATCAAGGAGAACAAAGCTACGAAAACCATAATACGCAAAGGATTCAACAAAATGAGATACAACGTAATAAAGGGTTCGTGTTTTCATTAGGCTTCGTCAGCTCGACTGCTCGCATGGACCGCAGCCGCCAAATCTCCAGTCTCTTGAAGTCGTTCCCGAATAATCTCCGCGATTGCCCGTTGAGTGTGACGATCCAATTTCTGCAGCTTTTTCTCGATGTTCCTTTTTAGGTCCCAATCTGCTTTCTTGGGCTGCAAGGTCGACGGATCGATCTGCTCGGGAAGGTCGGTTTTTGTAGTGTCCTGGAGATGTTGCGCGATTTCTTTCTCAATAACATTGTAGTCAAATTTCAAATCGTCCTTCTTCCCGATCTCAGAGCCAGGGGCATAATTCCGAAACTGCGGGCCTTCAGCAAGGCTTCGTTTGGTCGGCTGATCAGCTTCCATGTAGTCCTCCTCCTTCATAGGTACGCCATGTACGCGCGACTTCATGGCGAGCAGCCGCTTCTTTCGCTCCAACGCTGCCTTTTCAGAAGCCGTCACTTGCGGTTGAGTGTCCTCGTCTCCCGATGACATCTGTGCATCATCCGTCATTTTCTGAAATTTCATTTATTAGATAATAATTGTTTACGTAAATAATTCAACAAGATGTAGGGACCCAAATGATCAACAAAAGGAATGGTAAGATGTAAAATCGTAGGTATGAGAGAATTGCCAGCAGAATAAAGGTACAAACAAATATCGACAAGGATACAAATAAAAAAAAGTTTTATTCCTCCGAAGAGGCGGAAGGAGATCGTTTATGGGCCTTTTTCTTGCTTTTCTTGGAGTGCTTCTTCTTGTCCTCATCGTCGTCGTCAGAGTCGATCTTTGCAGGCTTTTTCTCCTTTTCGACGGAGGCTTCGCGGAATTTCCTACGCGGACTTCTTGACCGAGAGCGTCTTTTCCTGGATTCGCGTCTATCGTCATCCCGTGTCCTGTCGTGACGCCGATTCTCGTCACGGTCTTTTCTATCATCACGACGGTCACGATCACGACGCGAATCGGCCCGGTCACGATCCCGACGACCGTCTTTGACGCGACGTTCCTCACGCTCTCGCTCACGGTGTCGTTCGGCTCGTTCTTTTTCTCGCCGTGCAGTCTCCTCTCGCCTAGCCGCTTCACGGTCATCGCGCTCTTTGTCGCGTCGTTGTGCCTCCTCGCGCTTAGAAGCCTCCTCCCGTCTTTCACGATCACGCTCTTGCTCAGGTTCTGGCTCCCGCTCACGGCCCTGAAATTGAGGAATTAATACACTTCTATAAAGAGACTTGGGTTCTTTAGCATTTCCGGGGCAAGGGGGAAGGGGGGGTCTTTCCTTACTAGTTAGGATCAAATTCGTTTCTAACAAAAATGAGGGAGTTTATTTTAACCAGTTTTGTTCTATTCCAAGATCTAAAAAGTATATTCAAAAAATCCATTTTTCAAGCAAAAAAAAAAGCTGGATTTCAAATTTTAAGCGGTTTTTAAATTTTGCCACGGGAGATTCAAGTGAATTTAACCAAAAAGGCGATTAAAATACTTGATTTGACATTACTATAATTGGAAGCATCGTGAAAAATTCGGACCCTCCGGACATACCAAAGAACCCCGATTTGTGGCCGAAAATCCAAAAAACCCTACCTGTTGATGATAAATTCGGTCATCTTTCTCAGATTTGATCATGGGCCCAGCATAGTTTCCACCACTGAGAGAAGTGTATCTGTGTTTCCAGTCGCTTTCTGCCGCTTCTACAGCGATATTATCCCTCTTTGGTGCTCGATCGTGGTGGTTGTCTCGGGATGTGCGTACTTCCTTCAGTTTCTTCTCCACGAGGCTCGGCGGTATGCCATCCTCTGCTTCTTGGGCTTCGAGCAACAAGCTCCACAATTCACCCATGAATTCCCGCGCGCGACGGGCGTTTAGGAAGCCGGTGATGTTGATCTGCATGACTTTCGGGTTGAGCTCGGCCTCTTCCAACTGTGTGATGATGTATTCTATGATCACGTCGTCTTCGAGACCGAGCAATTCTGTGACGCGGGTGGTCACCCACGGTTTGATGACGTCCAGGTTAACCTTGGCACGATCGATGGTCTGCTCGAGGGCGTCTTCGAATTTCATCGTCTTGAGGAGCTTCTTTTCCTTGTCGGTGAAGCGTATATCTTGATCGGCATTGGTGCCTCTGTAGAATCCGCCCTCCGCCATGGCTGGGGACTAAAAATGAATGAATTATGATTGAAATTTTGGTCAATAAGAGGGGGAATTAGTTAGAAAGTAACTCGGTTAGCAAAGCGCCCGCGGGCGCGCCCGAAAATCCCAAGCGCCCGCGAGGGCGCCGGAACTGGACCCTTTTGCGCCCCGGGCGCAATTTTTGCAAAAGGGCGCAAAACCGCCCGGGCGGCAAAAAGCGCCCATGGACGCAACTAGGGGCGCATTTGAATGGTGAACACCTTTCAATTCTGCGAAAAAACGGCTAAGTTCCTGGATTATGCACTTATTTATGTTCAAAACATATATAGATTAACAAATACGTTACTAGGTTGGCCTGTTATGGTCGTCGATTGTAGAATACGATACTTTGAAGCGCCATGGCGCAGGTAAAGAAGGTAAAGTTTTGCTACGCAACCAATCCCTTCAAAAAACTTTAAAAATACTTTAGATTTAGATTTAGATTTATAGATTCTCGATTTATATAAGCCAACCTTTCAGACGATCATGGTCATCATTGCAAAGGGCGTAGCCAGAAAAAAAATTTCGGGGGGGGTCCTGAAAAATTTTTTCCGAAAAACTCAAAAAAATTAGCAAGAAAACAGCGCCGCAGGCAAAAATTTTTAAAAACAAGGCTATGTAACTCTACAAATAGCAGTAAAAACGTTAAAAAAAAATGGCGCCGCAGGCAACAAAATTTTTGAGAAAATAAAAATTATAAGGGTCCCCCCTTATGAAATTTTCGGGCCCCGGCCGATTTCGGGGGGGGCACCTTACGCTACGTCCCTCGGTTCTTTAGGATTTCCGGGGGAAAGTATTTCCGGGGGGGAAACCAAATTTTTTCCTGGTTTTCCCGGTTGACCTAGTAATCAAATATAAAGTGTTTTCACATTGTTTTTAGTAAATTTTAACTATATTTAAAGCAGAAAAACATTTCAAAAAAGTTAGAAAAATGTTTGAAAAAGTCGAAAATTGGTCATTTTGGGTCTTTCCCCCCCCCCCCCGCTAATCCTAAAGGTTCTATAGGATTTTTCGAACTAAACTTAAATTTTTTTAGTTAAAATGTGGGTAGTTTTTATGCTCAGGAATAGTTAAAAACCATTTAGAAACGCATGCGCTGTTTAGAAAAAAATTTAGGCTTGGGCCGAAAAAATTTGGTTTCCCCGGAAATACTTCCCCGGAAATCCTAAAGAACCCGTCCCTCTCTCTGGGGCGGAGTTGCAAAGTAAGTCGGCAAGAAGCAAATCAAAGCAAGTTTTCAGGAAGCGGGAAGAAAGTAAGTGCGAATTACGAAGTTTATAAAGGAAATTAGGTAATTAGCTACACTTTTAGGGGCCGTCTATCGCGCATTCGAACGTATCTGTAAGTTTCAAACGAAGCTAAAGCCAAGAAAGCAAAAAAAACATATTTCAGGTGCGCAGTACAACCAATTTCTCAGGGAACGTGAAGATCTACATTAAGTATAGGGTACAGCATCGCCAAAAGCGATGTAGTGCCCTTTTTTAAATAATAAAAGCATTAAAAGAACCCGTCCTGCGCCGTTACAACGCGATTGGGGCGCGCCCGCGGGCGCTTTCGAGTTTCGGGCGCGCCCGCGGGCGCTTTTGGCCATTGCGGGCGCTTTACTAACCGAGAAGCTTACAAGGGAAAAGTATGGCAACCCGTATTTAACGCCCTTTCGCGCCCCTTCACGCCCTCCTGTAAATAACGCCCCCTGTATTTCGCGCCCCCTGTATTTAACGCTCTCCTGTCAATAACGCCCTGCAAAACGAGCTTTTTCCTGTAAATAACGCCCTTTTCGTGGTCATATGGAGGGCGTTAAATACAGGGGGCGTTATTTACAGGGGGCGCGAAATACAGGAGGGCGCGAAAGGGCGTGAAGGGGCGTTAAATACGGGTTGCCGAAAAGTATGAATCTTTTCGAGTTTCGGCGGCTTGAGAGGGGCTACGCGAGAGGGCAAATAACGGATAGGAGCACCGCCGCGGAGTATTCCCCGAAAAGTCACTTCACTTCAACTTTTCAACTCAAACTTTTCGCTTGACTTCTCAAAAGTTTAGAACTCTGAAAATCGGTGGATTTATCAGGGGTGGTACCAAAATTCGTTTACTACCCCTAGCAGGCTAGTAAAAAACTTACTAGGGCTAGTAAAAATTAACTACCCCAGTAATTCGGCTGGGAACCCTAGTTAGCAGCTCAAGTGTGAAAATCTTATCTACACTTTCAAAGCTATATAAAACGTCCACAAGAGCTCAAAAAGACTCCAGAGCGATGACAAAAGCTTCTTTAGAGCAAAAGCTACGATTTGAGTAGAAACAAAACCCTCGAAAAGCTAGAAATGGTTTAGAAAACCGAGGAACAAAAATTTACTACCCCCCTAAAATTTTTACTACCCCAGTCAATTATTTTACTGGCCACGGGCGGGTTTTTAGCCCTCAAACACACTGATTCGCGGGGGCGCGCAATAGAAGTGACAACCTTTTAGGCAGCGGAATGCAACTGATTACTCGATGTTTTGTTGAAAGAAAAGCTATTATAAGAGTAACAAAATATATTGCTTTGATCGCAAGTTTAGTTTAACGACAAAATTAGTATAATAACATGCTCAGGTTGACGCTTTACAACGGGGCGCTAAATCTTTCCTTGCTTGTACGTATAAAACCAACTACTAAACGTATAAACTACTACTAAGAGCAAGATGCAGTTGCGGGGAGAGGATATCAAATATATTTCGCCGAGTTTTCTAGCTTCTCGGCTCGACAGCACGGGTGCAATCAACGGAAACAATTTTGGTCCAAAATCATGACTATACAGGGTGTCCCAATAAAAAAGGTCACGCTGGCATTTTGTCATTTCAAATCCGATCGACCTGAAATTTGGAACAGAGCTGCGGAAGGGAATTTAAAATGTTCACAGAAAGTTTCAGCCCGATCGGTACAGTAGTTTTCGAGTTATAGCAAAAATAAACTTTATTTTACGTTTTTAACCTAGATTTCGCCGGAATTGAGTCTTGGAATGTATGGCAAAAATGAAGCGCCGAGCCTTTTTTACCCCAGAAGATTTTTTATTTCGAAAAATTCGTTTTGGAAATAGGTTTTTAGCCCTCAAACACACAAAAAATTTTGACAAGGTGTTATCATCCCCGATGTTAAGAAGAATGAGGGATTTAGGGCCGAAATTGATGGTAATTGATGCAAAGTCCAAAAAGATAGCCGAAAAATGGAAGCAAAAGTGTTGAAAAAAGGGTATTTTTGTTATAGCTCGAAAACTACTGAACCGATCGAGCTGAAAGTTTCTGTGAATATTTTAAATTCCCTTCCGCAGCTCTGTTCCAAATTTCAGATCGAACAGATTTGAAATGGCGAAATGCCAGCGTGACCTTTTTTATTGGGACACCCTGTATATGCTTCGCGCAAAATTTGACCGATATCTTTCCGGACTCGACGATCACTCTGAAGAAAGTATTTCATATCTTTGTAAAAGTATGCTCTGTAGAAACTGGAACCACGACAGTCCTGCTGTTCAGAATTGTCAGCTGCTGCCGGTCAGCGTAAGAGCAGCGCGAAAACTCTGCTTACAGGAAGTTCGCCATCGAAAGACAAAATGAAGCTTTAGTTTTGGGTAGTTTTGGTCTATATGTTGAAAACCCGCTAGTTTCTCAGCACAACCTTGTTTGCTTCATAATTGTGATTTTCAAACCTATGTGAACATAGGAAGCCCTACTTTTTTATCGTGTATCGCTTGGAAGTGTTGCCGGCGATCTTCTTGAGTGGATACCCGAAAGTCATAAGACATAACTGATTTTAGAATTCCTTTGTCAATCCTGATGCCCCATCGTGTGATGCCTCTTGATCTTTCCAAAATATTTGGCTTTGTACTTACAAGCAAGGAAAGATTTAGCGCCCCTGTGTAAAGCGTCAACCTGAGCATATATACAATCGGCCGTTGTGCACGTTATTATACTAATTTTGTCGTTAGACTAAACTTGCGATCAAAGCAATATATTTTGTTACTCTTATAATAGCTTTTCTTTCAACAAAACATCGAGTAATCAGTTGCATTACGCTACCTAAAAGGTTGTCACTTCTATTGCGCGCCCCCGCGAATCAGTGTGTTTGAGGGCTAAAAACCCGCCCGTTTACTGGCCTAGTAAAAAAGTTGGTACTATTCAAGTTGGGGGGGGGCAAAATTTTTGGAGCTATTTAAGTTGAGTGGCCCCAAATGCGTCAAAAAAATTTTGTCGATCGGGGGTCCCGGATCGGCCTAGAAATCAATATTCTGGGGTAGTTTTGTGCGCTGAGTACGAATTTAATACTTTTCGACTACAAAAATTTAACTTTAGACTACAAACTACAAAAAATCAAAAATCGTCAAAACACGCGGAAAACACATTTCCTGGGCCGTTTTTTGCGCTGAATCCTATTCTTGTTAGCATTCGCGACCAAATTGCATATTTTTTAAAGGCTACAATCATCTCACGGTCAGTCACCAAATGAACTTTGTTGATCCGGTTGCTGGCTCTCATACTCAATCTTTTGAGAGCCAATGGAACAAGTTCAAAAAGAGGATCAAGAAATCAAACGGCCTCAACACATCCACGAATGAGGGATACTGTGATTATCTCAGTGAAATCATGTGACGCCAAGAATTTGCCGATCGCAATCACATTTTCTACCGCTTTTGGTCACACGTTGTCACAATGTACCCGTGTGAATAAGCCAGCCGACCCGGTCAAACTTCCCAAAACCCTATACCAACGGCCCTCTTAAGGGTCACAAATTTAAAAAATATGCAATCTGGTCGCGAATGCTATCAAGAATAGGATTCAGCGCAAAAAACGGCGGCGCTACTTAAGTTTGCTGGCCCCACTTATATTTCGCCAAAACCTCATGTTTCCGGGCTAGTTTTTTGCGCTGATTACGAAAAACACTATCCCGAATCGTGAAAGTTGTGTTTTGAAGGGAAAAACAAATTTCATTGTCAGTTTTCATGGTTTGAGTTTCAAGGGGTTAACTAGGGCGTTGAAGTGGGAGGCCTATAAAATGGGGAAAACCCTATTTCCAAGAAGGCTTATCCTTTGCGTTCGTTTTTTCCTAAAAATAAGGCTTCGTGCCACCTGGGGCCTAGTCGCTTCGGATGGGTGCGAGCTCGTACAGGGTTTCGAAATCGGGGCGCCCGAGGCGCGCGTAGCGGCCAGGCGTCCCAATTTCGAAAGAGTGGAGCGGCAGCCCATCCGAAGCGACGGCCCGCCTTGCCTGACAATGCTACAAGCTTATTTTTTCTTGGTAAACCAGTTTTTGGTTATTTATTTAGTTAAAAACCCACAAAAATACGAGTTTTTCGCAAGCGCCGTAAAATGGAATTTTCCCGATATTCAAATTAATTTTTTTCCTAGATAGCATTTTCGCGGGCTAGGATATTGTGTTTCGTAATCAGCGCAAAAAACTAGCCCGGAAACATGAGGTTTTGGCGAAATATAAGTGGGGCCAGCAAACTTAAGTAGCGCCAAAACGGCCCAGGAAATGTGTTTTCTGCGCGTTTTGACGATTTTTGATTTTTTGTAGTTTGTAGTCTAAAGTTAAATTTTTGTAGTCTGAAAGTATTAAATTCGTACTCAGCGCACAAAACTACCCCAGAATATTGATTTCTAGGCCGCTCGGGGCCCCCCGATCGACAAAATTTTTTTGACGCCCTTGGGGCCACTCAACTTAAATAGCTCCAAAGTTTACTGCCCCCGCCAAAAAAATTACTGGGGTAGCCTAAAAAATTTTTTGGGGTGGTTTGCCACTTTTGGTTACTAGGGGGAAGTAACCCCTTTGCAGAGAAACCGCTAGAAATCCAACGAAACCGCACCGATCGAGCTCCGGGCGATTTTATATGATAGTTCAGGCACTTGTCCAGCGATGTGCGTGAAAAAAATACCGACACTCCTCGTGTTTTGGGGTCAAAATCGACAAGAAAACGGATACTACCCCAGTAAAAATTTTTACAACAATGTTTTTTCAAGTAAGAATTTTTACTGGGGTAGTAAAATTTTTACTAATGGTTAGCCGTGATTCGCCCATTATCTAGGTTACAATTCGGGTTTAAATGAGCGAAATAAGATCTTTTATAGGATTTCGCGAAAGTGGTGCTTCGACCATGAGTTTCACTTACTGTCTCCATATAACTCAAAACTGACATAAAAAGTAACTACACTAAGTAACTAAAACTAAATGTTATACAACTTTAGCAACATCTTTTTTCTTTTAAAAGCATCCACGGTCATTTGACTGAAATCTTTCTACCGGAAAACCCATAACTTGGGAAAATTCCGAAACAGTAGTGTATCGATATTTGCTTATCTACTTGGTTTTGCGGTGAAGTGGCTTTGACAAAGTCAATTTTGATGAAACAATCGCGCCCCTTGCCAGTCAGCGCTACCGGCCATTTTTCTCTCTTCGGGTCGTTTTAGATCAATCTCGATCATCCTTTTTGGTTCTTTCGCCTGATCCAGGGGGGACCAACCTATTCTTAGGACCTATATTTCAGATATAAATGGTGGCAGTGTTTCTAAATAATTTTTCACTTCAAATTATACAAAATTTTATTAAAAAACGTCAAAAATATCATTTGTGGCTCTTCGACCGTTTCGACCAAAGGGGTTATTTTTGGTTCTTTTTCAAAACTTATTAGATGGTTTTTCTAGTTGAAAATATTTATTTTTTTTGCTAAAACCACTATTAAAAACTTGATATGAAGTTACTAGGATTTTTTAGACTTAGTCCGGTCCCCCGCCCCCGATAATGCGAAAAACCGCTCTTCGCTTTCGACTGCCAACTAGTGTTCCCGGCCTGATTACTCAAGTAGAGTAGTATCACTACTCCTAGTACATTTTTTACTAGTTAATTATGGGTCAGTCGCTGCTTTCGACGCAAAAATGAAAGTTTCACCCGGGGTAGTAAAACCGGTAACTGCCCCGGTAAAAAAATAAACCGGGGTAGTAAATTTTTAAGCGGGGGTAGTAAAAAGCTTACTAGGGGTATTAAGCTCGCTAACTACCCTAGTAAAATTTCGAAATTTGGTACCACCCCAGCTTTTTTTTCTACGCCATTTTTGTCGTGTTTTGAAGGGTTTCAGGCCGCTTTCAATAAACCGGTTTTCCCTATGCACCTTCCTAACCCTTCGAAATCTTGCATTTCAAAATCATATCCTCTCACTGTCACCCCCTAAATTTCCAGTCCGATGCCGGATGACCTCGACGAAACAAGACGGGACGGGGTCCTCTCACCAGGCCTCGACCCACGAAGGGTTGAAATTGTAGTGGTCGTGGGCCCACTCGATGAGCACCTTCGCCAAGACCTGCTCGTAAGACCCCTAACATCTTCAGCCTATTTTTTGTAGGAGAGCGGCATCCAAGTCATCAAGAGCCAGAATGGCAGCGAGTACGTCCGAGATGATGTCACGTTTATCATCAGCGGTATTTTTGGCTTGACGATTACTTGTCTTTTAAAGATTTTACTTCCCAAGCCTTCAACAACCTGGTCAGCTGTTCGAAAGACAAACGTGACGACAACGAGTCGCCTCGAATCATGGCTCCTGTCTACGCGATGTGGCATATCGAAAGAGGCCTTGTATTCACACATTTCTTTTTTTTTACTTCAGTTTAGGCCATACCACTTCCACAGCGTCACCGCCCTCGCTATTGCTGCTCGATGAAAAACCTGAATATTACAATGGAGATTACGGATGAGAGCAAGAAGAAGGAGCTCATAAATAAGATCCATTGGATGTCTGGTTCTGTCAGGAAGGAGGTATTTTACAAATTGTAGTATCAACTCTACGCTCATCTTTAGCTGCGGCAGCAGACCACTCATTTCGTCACGGATTCGATGTTCGGGGAAAACTATAGGGTAGATTATAGTGTTTTGTTTTACACTTCCCACCTTTTAGAACGCTGTTGCCCTTGGCTATCCAATCCTGCGCTATACCTGGGTTCTCGAGGCCTGGACGCACTGTGAGGATCTGGACTACGACGCCAATACGCCAAAAGCTGTATTATTGAAACGCTTACGAAGGCACTTTTTAGATGGAGCCCCATGTTTTGCGTATTTTCGAGGGCCTGAGGTTCTATTTCTGCCGTTTCGATCAAGAAAATATCTCGGAAATGCGTCAAGTCTCTACCGACAATGGTTTCTAATAAATTTGGGTTTCTAAGTGCATTTTAGGCGCTCTGATGGTTGAAGACCCATCACTGGCCACACATATTGTCTATGGTGCGAAGACTGATAACCTAGAACAGAATCGGAAGGCATGGCATGTATCTGCTACGGTACGCGAGTTATGCGATACTTAGTTAGCTTTTTAGTGGTTCTGGGAGTCCATCAGCCTTGGCAGAGCACGGCTCGAAATGGAATACACATTAGCGCCCCGTGCCATGTCGAAGAAACAGGATAATCCTCTCCATACCAGCAAGTCAGTCAATAGTTTTAGTCAGCCAATTTCTACTTTAGGGCCTCGATTCTCGACAACTCTAATAATTCTATCTTATCGAACGATGATAAAAGTGTGGGATCGCCGTGCAAAGTGGACAAAAAACAACAGGTCAGCTCAAAGTTCGTAACATACCTTGTTGTAGATTGTTTCTGAAATGTTGGATACGGAGCGGAATTACATCACGATGCTGGAGCTTCTCCTTGAGGTGTTTTCCCTATGCATACTTCAATTTGCCAATTAGATGCGCAATCGGCTGGTGGGCTCGAAAGATGGTGGAAATGATTCTTGGATGGCGACGAATCCCGGAGCTTTATCCCATGCTGACGCTAATTTAATTTTTGGAAAGGTAACTTTAGTTGCTTTTCGAAATCCAAGTATAAGCTTTCAGATCCCTCCTATTTTAAATGTACATAAAGCGATCCACGGCGACATTGCTAAACTCATAGCCAACTGGTCGACGAAGGCATCTGTCGCGGATGTGAGTCATTGGATAGTGATAGGTGAAACAATCAATTTAGATCTGGTATCGTCGCCGTCAAGATCTGCGCAAAGTTTATCCACCATTCATCAACACTTTTGACAAGGCCAAGGACCGCTTCAGAGAAGTAGACCGGGACGACAGATTTCATGCCTTCGTTCGGGTACTGTCATCAACGATCATTGTCTGATTTTATTGTAGATGTGTGAAAGCGGCGAGAACTGGAGGAAGCAACGCGTCGAGGACTTGCTAGTGCGTCCGATCCAACGTCTTCCCTCGATATTGCTTCTGCTTCAACAATGTGCGAAGCACTGCAAGAAGAACTCGACAGACGCCGAGAATATTCCAAAAACTATTCGTGAAATGCAATCTATTTTGGAGTAAGCAGAACTTTGGTTTATTGATTCGCATTTAGGAATGCCAATGCGTCTCGTCAAGCGACCGAAAATTTTGAGAAGATTTACAAGGTGTTTGATGAGATCGAGTCGATGCCTGCGGAACTGCGATCCAGTCATCGTACAACCACCGCGGGTAATCAACCCTAGTTTATCTTTTCATATTTTTTTTAGAATGCGTGGTTGCATGTGCTGGTGGTACCGGGCAATGGGATGGCATGAAAAATAAGCCTCTTCGGTTACTGATTTTCAACGATCTTCTCATGGTTTGCGGCCGTACACTTAATCAACACGGTTTTAGATTGTGAAAGTGCGAGAGCATATTCAAAGCGGAACGAGTACGATCTCACGAATGGCTCGCCACTTTTCGACTACTAGTCTCTTGGGGGAACGTCGAAAGCCATACCGATTCATTGCTTATTACAATTTTAACGAAGTCCGACGCATCACGAGCTCTTATTCGCATGGTTTGATTTGCCAAAGGGCCCGTAATACTTTTTAGATGACCGTGGGACGATGTATACACTCTCTCTCAGAGACAACGACAGCGACAAAGATGTAATTTATCCGATTTATACCGTACGCTTTTCTAGCTGGCCGTTGGCGTTGACGCTTCCCTCGGGTATAATGAGGAGACTGTCCTTGATTGTATGCAACGTATCGAAAGAGGCGTATTCATAGAATCCGGACGTGAAGATACCTTTGTCGTAGGCTTTTATTATTCAGATAGAAATCTTTTTTTCAGCAACATGTCCCGCCGAATCAATCCGAAAAGTACGGTAGCCTGACCAAGAGCTGCGGAAAGCGCGTTCTTCCCGAATATTGGTAATTATATTTAATCTTTTTTTATGATGAAACGACACTGCCCGTCTCTATAACATTTTTTAGTGGCTCGCCACAGCAAGAGAACCTAAATGCATCGACGATGAGCTGTATGGGCATGCGAAGGCCACCATCGCAACTTCGTAAAGCTATTTCGAACACCTCGATGTTCCGATGGGGGCAGCCGCTTCGTGAACAGCAATTACTTGGTTAGTTGATCTCAGTAGCGCGAATTTTTTTTCATTTTCAGTTGAAGAGTCTCCCTCCTCCAACTCGGTGGTCTCCTCCCCGTCGGCCCTTTCCCATACGAAAAAAGCTGGCATCTCAAAGGCAATTTTGGTCCTCTGATATGACTTGAGTTTTCTAGATTCAAAGTGCGTCCAATTTCTTCACGAGGCCCTTCCGCAAGGCATCATTCCGCAGAAACGACGAAATTACGCGGGTGGATGAGGCCAACGAAAAATACACAACCCTCGACTGAAGCACCAGTACCACGATCTCATCACTAATTCTCGCCTGTTTATTGTATTTTCTTGTGTTTTATAATGGTTGTGCAGGTGTGTGTGCTCATTGTTTGAGCATTTATTTGCCTGATGCTTTCTGAGCGCACGAATTTCGTCTGGAACTCCTCTTTGCATAAAATAAATCGTATAACTTTACTTTGTTATCTTCCACTGCAGTATGATTCTGCTTATACCCTATATGAAGCGTAGTGTGCTTTTGCCCTATTTTGCGTATTGACTAGGCCATTGCCCACCCCGAAAGGCGCCAGCAGTCTGCTGCGCAAAGGCGTGTGCCGTTTGCGCCGCGTTGGTTCCCTAAACGTGGAGAATTTAAAGTGCTCATCGCTTATTGTTTCGCCCTTTTCGCAACGTCAAAACCAACTTTAGTCGTGCGATGACGGTCGTCAAGATCAAGTACGGATCAGACATCCGTAAGAGCGCCGTCCACAACAATGACCTGACGCTGAACGATCTGCTCTTGATGGCCCAGCGCATCTTCAACATTTCTCCACAGGAGCCCTTCACGTTGAAGTACAAAGATTCAGGTGATTATTCTGCAAAATTCTGCAAAAACTTTGGTTTAGATGGTGACCTTATTACGTTGGCTGAGGATTCTGACCTTCGTCTGGCATTGGACAGCAACTCTAGCGACACCTTGAGCGTTTTCGTCAACGGCGACAATGCCGCCGCTGAAACTTTGAAGGCTCAGTTCTCTCAACTGCAGGTAAAAACCTCTTTGGCCGGATTGTTCTCGTCACTTTCGTCCTTCCCAAACAAACAAAATTAATTTATCTTCTTAGTCCGATTTCGAGAGGCTCCTAAATGCCATCAATTCCGCCGAAGTGCGTCACAACGCTTCGCACCCGGAGCCAACTCAGCCGTTGAAAGTGAATGGCGGCCACGGATATGGGCACCAGCACGCTTCACCGGAACCATCCCCTGCCCCGGAGATCGCGCCGCCAGCCACCATTCAGGCCACCTACAATGAGAAGAGCCTCAACAATTTCCAGCATAACCACAACGAGGTAATTTTTAGTGTTGGGTAGTATTCTTTTTTAGTCGCTCTCGGCGATTGAAGACGAGATCCCGCTCGGCGCGGAGGCTGCCTCTGTTGCATCATCGCATCATGTTTCCCACATGAACGTCTCTTCCATTGTGTCTCCGGTAAGCACTCAGCTAGAACTTAAAATCCGTTTTTTTGCAGCACGGTGAACCCCCGGCGCAGTACCAGCAACAGCAGCAAACCTTCTCTCCACCGGCCAGCGTTCCGTCATATCCGCCGCAGTCGATGGGCCATCCGCCGGCTGCCTACCCGGAACCCACGCCTCCTGCTCCGCAGCAGTACAACAACAACCCGCAATATGGTCAGCAGGCGCCTCCCCCTCCGGTCCCCGGCTTCCCGCCGTCTGGCGGCCCGCCCAGCAATACTCCATTCGCTCCGGTGCCTCAGTACGGAGGTTCGTTTTTATTTTTCCCTATTGTACCAAGCCAATCTTCTTGTCTCCTGGAATTCATGGTCTCTTTGCAGGTCAGCCACCAAACACCCCGGCGAGCAACGCACCGCCTGCCGGCAACCCTCCGTTCAGTGGACCACCCACTAACTTCGGACAGGCCCCGCAACAGCAGGTGCCACCGCCTCCTGGCCCGCCTCAGCAATTCGGTCAGCCCGGTCAGCCGTTGGGCGGTTATCCGGGTGCGCAGCCTGGCTACCAGCCGATGGGCTTCCCGTCGTCTCAGGTACACGCTCGGGTTTATGAAAAAGTCGAAATTCATAATGCGAACATTTTTAATTTGCGCGAAATTTTTGGTAGGCGCTTTTCGTGATTCGCCGTGGTTTTGTTGTGGAAATTTCGGAAAGCGAATTTTGGGGGATCCTGAGTTTCGATATGAATTTCGGCGTTCTTCTACAAAATCCACCTCCTCGGCTTGATTATTCAAGGTTTTAGGCCCCTCCCGTGCCCGAGCCATCTCACCAGTACGGTGCGCCGCCGTCGTTCCCCGGAGGTCATGGTGCTCCACCGCCGTCGGCCTTCCCGCCGGGCAGCCAAGGCCCTCCTATGGGTGGCCCTCCGATGATGCCTCCTTCCGGGATGCCGCCTGGAGCCAACCCATTCGCCCGCGGCCCAGCTCCTCCCACCGGTTATCGCCAATCTCCATATCATCAGTAGCCGGGAAATAACCGAGTGACGTTGGGTCTCTTTCGCTCTTTCCCAAAGTTCTCGCGTCTTGCTCTTTTTTTACGTTACCCGCCCTCTTTGTCTGTTCCTTTATTCCCCCCTTGCTTCTAATTCTTGGGGCCGAGTGTAATGATTACTTGTATTCCAGCGGCGCTCTACTCGTCGTCCCACAATTCTGTGAATGTCAGCCATTGTGATCGTAATCTATTCACCATTTACAGAATTCTGTTCATAATTTATTTCAAGGAGACCGAATAAAAAAGTGGATCGTCAATATTTGTCATTTTAAACACATGATAGGTCCTGTGACAATAAGTTTATTGAGGCAGCGGATTACAGTTTGGTAAAATTAAATGTAGTAGTATATATCTAGTATGAGTTCATCGAGCGAGGAAGATGACGATCTTCTATCTGGAATTCTGCGGGGCGGTGAAGATGACGGTATTTCAGATATTGTGGTTCTAAAACTGTATTTAACAGAACCTCCGAAGAGGAGGGGGAGAAAACGGAAACTGCCACTACCGGAAGCTCTACCGCGTGGCCCGGATGTGGAAACGGACCAAGAATTTCGTGAACGGTTTGTGAAGCTGTCGACTCGACATTTCTTTAGACTAATCTCGGTGACCGAGAATATGATGTACTCGGCAGGTGATGGTCCATCTCCGCTCTCGCAAAACGTTGATCTCGCCATACGACTGGCTGCCGAGATCCTGAGACCACTTTTTCGGAATTTACCACGATGGAAAGTTAGACAGTAAGTTGATACAATTAGGGTTCGATGATATTTTTTTCTAGTGAGCATACCCCTTTGGCTATTGTACTGAATCGAATGCGGGTGCGGCCAGATTTAATAAGCAGGCTTTTACAGCGAATCACGGTAAGCGCCAAGTATCCCTTTTAATATAATTTTAGGTGGCTGCGAATATCAATGAAACTGCCAATCAAGTAGACGACGGCGACAATCAGAAAACATTTGCTGAGTATGTCGATGACGGCTCTTTCTTAGAAACAATTTTTAGAGAACTGGTGGATCCGACCGGATTGAAACTGCCGTTCTGTGTTGCCCTAACCGACCTCGGAATGGATCCAAATGGGCTTTTGGTATGCTTTCGTTTGCGACACATCAAATTTTTCAGGCCATGACAGACGAAATATCCGCGGCTCGGTTGGAACGGATCGTGCAGCGAACAAATGGGATGAGTCCACTCGCATACGGCCTATTTTCAGACGCCCGAAAAGCAGCAATTTGCAACTTCAACAGTAAATAGTAAGACCTCGACCACCGATCAGTCTCGCTATTTTTAGTCGAAACGAAGCAGCTTCGCTTTGCCGTTGGCTAGGAATGAAAAGTCCCCCAAAAGTCGTCGTCTTTGCTGCTACATTTCTTTTCAAGGAAATCATAACACAGGTGAAGATTGTATTGTTTTTGATGGTTGTTTTAGTTCACCGACCATGCATCTCGAATTGCCAAAGATGTTTGGTTGGTCGAGCGGATGCAGGTTGGATCCTCGGTTTCGCTTTTAGATTTGATTTAGGAGAACCGACCGGGCGTGGGCGGTGCAGACTCCCATCACCCCGTCCCGATCTCAACAAGACACTATCGTTCGGCCCTCGTCCGCAATAAGCGAGTTAAAAATGGCAATTTCCTATTTGGTCCTTTGGTTAATTCTTTGAATCAATGATGCTATTAAACGGGTTGTTTTTTTATAACAATTTGGTTCGTGGGATCTCCTTGTAATGAATGCTGTGCCGGTTCGATAAAATCCGTTAAAATATTTATCGAGTGAACATGTAGACGCAGAAACAACGATATACATCAACAATGTAGAATTACTGTGCCGCCCTGCCGCGATCGGAACGCACTTTTTCCGTTTGCAAAGTCAGGGCTTGGGCTCGCTTCGTCAGTCGGTCGGCACTTTCCATGACCTGAGAAAAAGAGGTTCTATAAAAAACCTACAAAACAAACCTGTTCATGAATGTTGCTCGTTTTCACGCCCATCACAACCTGGCCGAGTTTGGAATCGATCTTGGCGCCCTCGATACGATAATTAATAATGAGGTCGACTATCCAGCGCTCCGCCTCTTCCTGTAATAGAAAATTAAACCAAGAAAAAAGAAAAATCCATATGCACTAAACTCGGACTCCCAGGATTCACAGACGCCAGAAACAAAAATACCTTTTTCATGTTGAGTCGTTGTGCCAGCATGTCGATCGAAATGCACTGGTGAATCCGACAGAACATCTCGAATGTCAAAAGACGGGCTGATTCACGGAAATCATCCAGGCAAGCGGTAAGGAAGAAATCGTTTGATAGGACCTAATAATTTTCTACGCAACGAAAACTAATTAGTACCCCTTCACATTGACGAAGCTTTAATTGGGCGTCATCGAAGTCGTACTTGATGTAAAGAGACGTGAGGAAATCGGTTACGGGGTCAGAGTAATTATGCCTCTCCTAAAAAAAATATGATGGTCCTATCGCAGTAAAACGTACAATATCGATGACCTTGATGAGATCCTTCAAGCTGTTTTTCTGCTTATTCTTGGATGTGACGACGGCGACAGCCAGGTATCGAAGCAAATGTGGGCAGGCAACCTAAACAACACGTTCAGAAACACAGACGCAGCCACTGACTTGGATTGCGTTGAGGTACGGCTGCTGGTTCAAGAAAAGTTCGATAATCTCGTCACGTCCCTGCAAATCAAGAATTTAAAATATTGTTGAAACACGCACCTTCGCGTAATTGAAGTAAACAAAAAGCGAAAAATGCATCAGCCATGCACGCTGCTGAATGAGTTCCCACTCAGAATCAAAAGGATTCGAGTCGATGTAGGCACGCAACTTCAGCAAATCTTCCTTGGCGTGTTCCCATTCCTAAGACAAGCAAATTAATGCCAAAAAATTATCTATTCAAACCTGCAAGTTGATCTCGGAGGCCAATTTCCCGTAAAGAGCGCCCAGGAAGTTTGGGTCATGCTGCGGGATCAGATTCCTGAAACGATAATTAAGAAAGCAAAAAAATGGGTACTTGTAATGGAAGAGGATAATCGACGCATAGTTGTAGTTCCCGCACTCGTATAGGAATTTGCCGTACTTGAAAAGCACGTCCAACATTTCGGTTTTGAACTAGGCGAGTGTTATGTTATTTGAAATCAGAAAGGTCAACATACTCCATGGTTGCTGATCAAAAAGTCAAGGATCTTTTGATTGCTGTCGCGATCCCGGGTCGATTCGATAAAATCCCGAACCGATTCGGTCTCAAGAATCGCAATGACGGCGTCAGCCTAAATCAGGTTTTTTTTAGGTCACAGAAATTTTACCTGGGTTTTCAATTCCTCCAGCTCCTCGAGGGTCTGGGCACGGCGGATCGACACCTCTTCGGGTACAGCATCTTCCGGGTAGGTATTCTTGAGAGAGTCGACCAATCTCGTCTTCCTCAACACTTGACGATGGATTTCGGTCATCGAATCGTTATCGAAAATCTGGCGGGGCTCGATGAATTCGAGCAGAGGGATGACCAAGTGGAGGTCCAAGAACGGAGCCATCCGTCGGGTAAGGTCGAATTCGGCCATTTCCTGAAAGAAAATAGGATTTACGTGCTTGATGGACAAAAATAAGTGTTCTAGGAATAGAAAATTCTGGCGAATGAATGATGATGAAAAGGAAAACGAAGAAACGGGTACCGCCAAGAGCGCAGCTGAAGTTTAAATCGGGCGCTGCAAGAATCAAGCCATTTATAACCATTTTAAAAGGTGAAAAAAGATCTAAACGAACAAAAAGAACGATTTATTAGAAGTTTTTCCAGTAGAAAAGAAAACGTTGTTAGTTGATGCAAATGAATTTTCCTGGGTCGTTGAGCGCTGATGGCGCAATCGTCTTTTGCCGCGTCGTGGTGACTCGCTTGAACCGGCCGAGTAATTTTTTTGGCAAGTCATGGCTGTCAAAAAAATTCAGGCCCTATATAATTCGGCTTTGTTTGGATGAATTATTTTGTAAAAACAATACAAGAACCAGAGCATGAATTTGTGAGCAGCCATTTTTTTCTAAAACAGAGCACCGTAAAGAAACATTCTTACCACACGGTTATATAACTACATCTCTTTGGCCTGAGATATTTTGTCAAATCTAAAAAAGGAAATTTGTAAACACCCATTTTGGTTTTTCTTAGGTTTATGCATGCTAAAGCCACAATTCCCGCCGAAGAAATTATCACTTTTATAGCTACTCCTCGTTTGAACTGCTTATTTCAAAACTCTAACCAATTCCTAAATTCAGATGGAAGACAACGGATCATGGTGCCTGATCGAGTCGGACCCCGCCGTCTTCAGCGAGCTGATCCGCAACTTTGGCGTGACGGGCGTCCAGGTCGAGGAAATCTATTCGATGGACGATGAAGCGTGCGCCCCACTGCAGCCTATACATGGACTCATCTTTCTATACAAATGGCGTGCCGGTGACGAGCCGATGGGAACCCCCGCCACCGACCCGAAGATCTACTTTGCCCAGCAGGTCATCACCAATGCCTGCGCGACCCAGGCTATCATCAATCTGTTGCTGAACCTTGAACATCCTGATATCGGGCTTGGAGATACCCTCAGCGAATTCAAGTCGTTCAGGTATGCCTCTTACTGAATTCGGTGCATCTTGAAATGGGCCAAAATTCCCCAGCTGAACCAGGCCAAAACTACGTTTTCTGCGATAGTTTTGTATCCTGGGTCGAAACACACAGTCCCAAATCGCGAAAGTTAACACAGCTAGCGTGATTTGTGTTTATTGCTTCGATGGACCGAATTGTATTCTTAGGGTCTTACGTGGACCAAGCTTGAATTTCAGTTAGCGTAGAATTGGCCTGGATTGAAGCTAATCTCAGGCTTCGGTTGAGCGTACTTGGGACCCCCTTAAACCCCAAACTTTCATGACGGTTTGACTGGGCCCGGATTACGAAATACTTCCCATTATCCTGCTCAAAACAATTTTTGTTTTTAGTAAGGACTTCGATCCTGCCTGCCGTGGTCTCGTCCTCGGAAACTCCGAGCAGATCCGTTCCGTCCACAACAGCTTCGCGAGAGCCCAACTCTATGAAGTCCTGCAGCCGGCCGGCAAAGATGAGGATGCTTTCCACTTTATCACCTACGTACCAATCGGGGACAAGGTAAAAATACAAGGGAATTTTTTAATGATTTTTAGGTGTACGAACTGGATGGTCTGCGCGAATGCCCCTTGGAGGTGGGCACCGTTCAAGAGGGCCAAGACTGGATGGACGTCGTCCGGCCAGTGATCAACGCCCGTATTGCCAAGTACCAGCAAGGCGAGATCACCTTCAATCTGCTCGCCCTCGTCAAGGATTTGCGCGCCAAACTTCAGGAGGAGCTCGAGGCCCTTGGAGAGACTGGAGATCCGAGTGAGGTGAGAATGATATTATATGAATCGTTGCATTCAACCGGGTATTCAGAGATGATATAGCAGGGACAAGGGAGAGAATTATGGCTCCTTGGCCTTCTCACCTCGTAATTTCTTTTTAGGTTGCGCGCCTCATCGACGAGCTGCAACAGGAGAACAAGCGTCAGGCACGATGGATTCTTGAGAATCGCCGTCGTCGCCACAACTACATACCGTTCATCGTTGATCTACTGCGCACATTAGCCAGGGAGGATAAGCTGGTGCCGCTCGTCAAGGTATCAACTAATTTTCCCAACCAACCGGTGTATTTAGTCGGCTATTGCCAAGAAAAAGGCGGCCACCCAGATGAAGAAGGAGCGCGCGGAGGCCAAAGCATCAGTGAAAACCGAGCCAGAAGAATCTCAATAATTTATTGCACTTTTCGTTCTCTTCGGGTTTCCTTAAATATATGTTCTTCGATTTTTTTACTTCTCAGATTTGTGTTGTCCGCTTCGGTGTTTTCTACTGGTTTGTCTGCGTGTTCTTTGCTAATTCGCGCAACTTCCTCTAAATTCGTGTTTTCGTGGTTGTCTGATTTGGCATAAATAAACGTATTATAGGTGACAACTCGGGGCTGATGAGAGCAGGATGAACTATATACAACACCGAAATCCAATCGGCAGAAGGCGGGATGAGCGGAAAGGTGCGAGGACTCTCTTTGATCCTGCCTTGCCATCTTTTAGATGATTCTCTCCCGAACCCTTCTACTAGCCTCCAAGCTTCACCACCTGTGCCAACCTACGGCAAAAATGAAGATCCGCTCGCCAGCGCCTTACTTGGGGCAGCTGAGTAAGCAATGACGTGAATATCAAATCAAATTTTAGAATGACTTCGAAACTGTGCATTGTACATCCCTGTAATGTTTTGCGCCGACAATGTCAGGTGAACTCGTGGTTTCTTTTATAATTTCAAGGATTCAAGGTCCACCAACACGCGAATTCGCTACATCTGACGCCGGTCACGCTCGTGCCAGTCATTTTCAACTTGACGAACAAACAGGTATGGAATCGAAACTTTGGTTCAACTCCGTGTTTAGGGGATTCTCACCCTTTGGAAAGGCTCTATTGGCAACGGTGTTCTTTGGGGACTGACATCGATTACGGAGATAGTCCTATCCGATGTTTGCGGCCTTCCGAAGTAAGCTTACATGGTCGTCAAAATATTTTTAGAACCTTTGTGCCTGGCGGGAGTTCCGAAAAGTTTTGGCGTCACGTTCTGCTGAAAGCTATCTCGGCGTTTACTCTGACACCATTCTACATTTCTTCTTTTATCGAGACAGTTCGGGTAGGTGTTTTGTATCGATCCTTAATATTCTTTTAGAGCGAAAGCGGTCTGGGCGAAGGTGACTCGGAGAATAGAGTGATGGAAGTTATTGTAAAGGGCGTTGATCGCATGAGGTGCGGGTTCTTCTTTTTGTCATATCGTTTTTAGATTTTTTGCATTTGGTGCTCGCGACTCTTCCCGTCGCTTTTCAATCCTCCATCTGGCCCTCCCTACGGTAACTTTGTTGTTTTTAATTTTATCCGTCCGTAGGTGGCGTTCCGGACATCACATTACCTCGTCCAAACCGGGCTTTATCATTATCTCTTCAATATTGCAAGGAGATATGTGGTGAGCCTCACCGCTAAATGCTTTTCAAATACTTTTATAGAATCGAAAACCGGAATCGGAGAGGACAAAGTTTCACGAATACGTGCCGCAGATTTTTGCGCAGATGACATCTTCCGTCTGCACGGACATGATCTTGTTCCCGTTTGAAACGATTTTGCATAGAATGTATATACAAGGTGAGGATTACGTTAAAGGGCTGCCGACGGCATGTGTCGATCCCCCCATCAACAAATTGGCAAGTAGCCAACAGGGGAGAGAGCGCGCCCTGGGGAGAAGCGCAGAGACATTTTCTTTTCCGCGCGTAACCGATTGACTATGCCGTCGGCATCCCTTTAAGCGAAGATTTATTACTGCCAAACTTTGCTTATATTTATCTATTTAACGCAAACGCGTAGTTAAAATGAGAGAGGTGACAGAATCCTCTGTCAAAGAACAATCTCCTTTTTTTTAGGGACACGAACACTTATCGATAATCTGGACAGTGGCTTGTCGGCTGCCTCGATAACGATCAAATACAGCGGGTTCTTCGATTGCTTGCGACAGACCGTCGAACGCGAGGGCTTTTGGGCGTTGTATGCGGTGAGTCCATTGAGCCCGAAATTAGCTTTTTGTAGGGTGCCGGCGCTCTTTTCCTCGAATACATGCTGCAATCCACATTGCATCAAGTGGCTCGGGCGATATTTGACCGCGGAAGTGAAGCCTTGCTCCGCCGTGCCACCCATGCTCATCTGGCCACAACACCACCGATTTCTCACGCCGCCAACCTGGACACGATTGGACCGTTGTCTGGACCGTTGGCTAGCCAGCAGTTGCAACAGCCCTCAGCCTACCAAGATGATCGGCCGGTTTCGATGATTGGCAGCCCGCATAGGTAAATTTTTAGAGCGTTGAATTGTAGAACTATTGGTTGTCCCCCAAAAAAACGGCTCGATAGCTGAAGCTCTGATCTGGATTGTTTTATGCCATTAGAAAGCTTTCGAAAAGGCGAGAAAAAGTTCTTTTGTTTTTCTCACTTTTAGAGCATCTAGAAAGTTCAGGAAACGAAGAACTCTGGTTTCTCGCCCTGTCGCGTGCTTTCAATAAATTCCTATATTTAAAAAATAGGACCCTTCTACGGGCCGCTGCTAGAGCTGCTTTTTTGGGGTGTCTCTCTGGATACCTTGTCTTTAATAATATACCTTTAATGCTTAGGGAAATTCGGGCCTCCCTAATCATTCACTAGGTGCCATCTGCTACCTGTTCTAAATTACCTTTGTATCGCGAAATCTTTATCGATTACGAACTCAATATCATTTTAGGGGTATCCCGATTTCCGCGCCGTCAGTGCCATTCCCTACCGCGTCTCCGCCGCTCCTCGCCTCACCGACGATGGTTAGGGCTCCGCAACCCCGCGCGCGAGAAGCTCTCTCGTTCCCATCGTTTGGTGAGACCTCTGGCTCCTATGGCTCACCGAACCCGCCGACGGCAAGCCCATTCGGAAATCCCCCGCATCAACCGCCCAAGTAAGTGAATTTTTCTAAATCTCTAGATACACTTTGATCGGCTTTCTGGTAAAATTTAATCAGTATAGGACGTGGAAAATTATTTCAAACCTTGACAACTTAAAAATTTTGGAATTTTTTGCCGAGATATCTATATTTTTGTTTTTTAGTAGTTTTTATTTGGAAAATTTGGATATTGGGGAGAAAGTTGAAGACCATTATTTTTTGCTTCCAGGTCATCAATCTTCGGCAGAAACGCCTCAGCTGGCTCTGGATCTAGCTGGGAACCGCTGCCACCGCTCCACCTTGACACAAATAACCAGTTTAGTTGATTGTCGTTAGCCCGGTTGCTGATAGGCATTTGTGTTAGGCTATTATAGATCAGTCGCTCGTGCTATTCTGGATAAACATTATTTTGAATATTTTGTACAAATCGTTTGATCGCTGTTTCCTCAGCTTGGATAACGAGGAATATTTGTCTATGGTTGCGTCCATCAGACCATACCATTTTTCAGGCGGCGTATTGCCAAAGATGTCTGACTGGGGTAATTTTTCATACCTTACTTTGTAGAAGTTCTTTAGACGATGACGATTTCGTGCCTGAGACGGTTGCTGCTGCGCCGGCAGCCCCTGTCGAACAGTCAATCGACAATTATAGGGTACGATCTGCTTTGTTGATTTATTCTTCTTTTAGGTGCCGTCGCCCCAACCCCAGAAGAAGGTGAAGCCGAAGTATATGGAAAAGGAGGACCAGGTTCGTGCTCGTTCACGGTAAAAAATTTTTGTTAAGACCTATGCTATGGAGGATCTCGGCCGCGAGTTGACCACTGCTGAAAGAGAGGCTATACAAAGGTTTGTACTGCTTTTGGCGTCCACGATTATTGATCTAATTTAGAAAAACTGATCGCGCTTTTGCTCGTGAATTGATGGGTGGTGAAGGTGCTGATGATGATGAGGACTCGTGGCAAGACGCCGCTAGCAAAGTATTCAACCTTTACGGGTTTTAATTCATTTAATTTTTCAGGAAGATTTCGAGCACTGGGGCGATAAGATTGCCAAATGGGCTTCGCAACGACACAAGGCTGCCCACTACGGCGATTTCCTTTCCAAGCTCCTTGCCGGCCTCTCGAAAGATTGTGGGTTTTATGGCGAAAACGTCTAATATATTGCTTTAGTGGACGCTACCGATATTAGAAAGATGTCCAACCTGCTGAAGCAAATTGCCGACGACAAGAAGAAGGAGACCGACAAGGCGAAGCCGGTGGCTAGCGTCGGAAAGAAGAAGGCGAAAACGGCTGTTAAATCGACGGGTACATTTTTAAGGCATATATCTAGGCCATTTCTTTAGGTGGCAAAGGGCGCGACGACCTTGATGACTACGGCACTGGTGGCGGCTCTGGCTGGCGTGGGGATGACGATGACGATTTTATGTAACTGCCTGATCTGCTCATGCACCATTTTCTGCCTGAGCTATTCCACTTTCCCACATCCTATTGTCATACCCAATTTTCTGAAAGTGTTCTATTCAAAACTTCTTCCAAACATTTATTTCTGATCATGTTTCCGGTTTGTTGGGTTTACTGTTAAATGTTTTATCGAGTGACTACGACGGTTTTTTTTGTGCTGGTTGGCACCGGCTTTGCTATCAAGAATTTTTCAAAATGTTGCGTTTCTATGGAATCTATCATTTTTTAGTCGATGGGAGCTGAACCGAAGGTTGCAGAAGATGTACGTTTTTAGAGACCTTTTTCGCTCTTCTTTTGTTCAAAAACGAAAATATGCTTTTCTTTTAGTTTGTCGCAAAGATGCCGGCAGAATCTGCGCGAGCGTTGCTGCAGGGCGGGGAGATCGAAGTTCTACGATGGGAGGATGACGAAATTGGTAAGTTTATCGGGCGCACAATTCGGGATCTTTCGCATATTTGAAGAATCTCTCGCTAACGACATGTTTTAGCACTACGCATGGCGGCTAACCATTCGCGACTGCCCTGGGATGAGTTGTCGGAACAGGAACGAGAGGTATTAGAAAGCATTTGATTTTCCTTATCGGGCTTAGGTGTTCGGCGAGGTCGAGACAAACGAAGCACACCGCTCAATGTATCTTTTCATCCGAAACAGAATTGTAGGTTTTTGAAGTTCCATGATCAAAATCTTAGTATTTTCAGCTTCAAATGTGGGTGCTTGAGCCGAATGTCGAGACTCGCCTAGAAGATGTCAGAACCCAGATGCCATACCCTTATAGAGGTGCAATTCGTGGGGCTTTGTCACAATTGTGTTTAGATTGCCTTCCACTACAAAAGAGGATACACGCCTTTCTTGTGAGATACGGCTACATCAACTTTGGTCGTTACTGTCCTCTGACACGTTCGTATAGATGGTTTTTTATATTATTTCGTTTTTAGAGCCGATGCTGAAAGTTCCGACGAAGGTATTGGTTATTGGAGCTGGCGCCGCGGGGATGGCAGCCTATTCTCAGCTGACTACCTTTGGGTTTGATGTCCAGCTGCTCGAGGCAAAGGTAAGGCATTTCGGTTAGGTTATACAGGCCGTTTAGAGCGAGGTTGGTGGGCGAATTCAATCATACTACGACCAGCGCGCTCGCGCCTCCGCGGAGCTAGGAGCGACATGTATCCGCGGATTCGGTACGATTTACAGTTATCGTTTTTATTGTGTTTTTAGCTGGAAATCCGCTCTGCATCCTTGCGCGCCAATCGAGGGTCGTCTTGAAAGAGTTGAGTGGGTCCGAAACCCTGTACGACGAGAAGGGCCAGCCGCTGAGCGATAAGCTAGAAAAGATCGGCGCCGAACTCTACGAGTAACGCTTTTCGATCCTTGTCATATATTTTTGTCTAGGAAGCTGCTCGCCACTGCCGCTTACATAACAGAAGAGAAAAAGATCACTCATTTTGGCGGTTTCGAGTTATCTCTGGAAGATTTGGTCAAGAAATTGCAACAGTAAGTTGTTTTTGGCCGAAAATTTCCTGTGGGCAGTCCCTGCATAGCTCGTTCCTTTAGACTCATCAAGCTCGGTCAGACTGACAACGCGATGGAGTTTTGGGTGATGGGCAAGGAGGTGGTGAGGAAACGAGCACAACTTTACGAAGAAGTGAGATTCCCCGTTTTTTCCAAATTCCTTTGTAGCAATACCTATGCAAGAAGATTTGCGACGAATTGAACGAGAAGATTGTGGCTTTGGAAGCTGAGAGAAAGGTTGGAGCGGTGATGAATTTGTCTTTACTCTTATTTAGCCTTCTGGGAACGGCGCGGTTGACCTTGAGCAGGAGATGATCAACGACATCCTTCTACGGTGCTACCGAAAAGACATTAGCGACGCAGTCTCGGTTGGTGGTTGATTTAAAGCACCTTCATTTACTTATTCGTGATTGTGGCGTTTAGAAGTACGATAACCTTGCGAAGCGACGGAAGGTGGTGGACGAAAAACTGCAGAATGTGAGAACGATGGATGGCGGGTAAGAGGGTCCGAATTTCTTTAATTTCGATTCCTTTTAGTGATGTTTTAATCAACAACGAACAGCAGCAATTGGTGCAGCACAACTTGGCAGCGCTGGAGGTTAGATTTTGGATTTTCTCTTTATAAACTTTTTCCTTAGTGGGCGACTGGCGCGCCGTTGCATAAACTTTCCCTACGGCACTGGGACCACGATGATCCGTTTGGGTTGAAGGGAGCCAATCTCATTCGTAAGGACTTAAATTTCAAAAGCAGAAGACCTTTTGTATTTTAGCCGAGCGCAACTTCCGCGAGCTGCTCGACACGCTCACGTTCAAGAAGAAGGAGCAAATCCGGTACAGGCACGAGGTCAAGGAAATTCGCTGCACAGATGCTGGTAAATCGAGCTATGGGGTCAGCATCCTTTTTAGGCTGTCAAGTTGTCGTGCAGAGACCACAAGCAGGTGCGCCTTGCGTGTCGGAGACGGTCACCTTGCATGCGGACGCTGTCATCTGCACATTCCCGATTGGTAAGCGCAAATTTCAGAAATAATTTTTTCGGTTCTAGGTGTACTGAAACGGTCGGTGGAGCCTGCCAGTGCTGATCCGAAGAAGGTCGCACCTAGGTTTACGCCCGAACTTCCTGAAGCTAAGGTCGATGCGATCCGAAAACTTGGCTCTGGCATAGTAAACAAACTTTTGTTGGTATGTTAGCTATCTCTCTCTCTCTCTCTCTCTCTCTCTCTCTCTCTCTCTTTCCTTTTATTTTCTGCGTTAATTTCCTACACATATTTCCCACTTTAGATCTTTGATCGTCCATTCTGGGAGAGTCAAATCCAACAATATGGTTATTTCGGCATGATACCGAAAGCCGAGTAAGTCCCCTCATGTAATATCAATCTTTGTGCTTTCTAGAGCGAGCGGCTCTCGAGGAGAATTTTTCTCATTCTTGGTTTGTAATGATACGCCCGCGCTCATTTGCCTGCTGGCTGGCGAATCTGCTGAATTGCGTAAGCCATTGTTGCCTGAAATATAACCTTCTTCGTTTTAGCTTCCGGTACGACGACTCAACACCTTGTCGCGAAGGCAATGAGCATTTTGCAGAAAATTTTCGGTTCAGTGACCCCGAAAGAGGTATAGCATGGTCTCTAACTAATGAAAGGTTTTGTTTTTAGCCACTGGGCGTCAGACTGACGCGATGGCACGAGGATCCCTACGCGCAGTGCGCTTTCAGCTACATGGGAAAGGAATCGCATCGTGGGTTTATGACGGCTCTTTATTTATTAAGACTTTGCAGCTGATATGTATGACGAGATCGCGAAGCCCATAATTCCGGAGGGTCCTGGTGGAAAGCCACGCGTCTTCTTTGCTGGTGAACACACACATAGGTAATTTTGAGGGGTTTTGCTACTTTGCGACTTTTTTGGATAGCTTGGAACCTAGCTTATCTTAATTCTAAATAGAGGAAGTTCTACGTGCATATTTTATTTCTACTAAACTTAAAATCCTTTGCAAAACGCCATTAAAATTCCAAAAATATTTTTTTCAGTGAAAATTTATTATTTATTTTTAGTTTCCACATTTTTAAATAATTTGAGTTTTTCTCATCAAGTTTTCCATTTTAAAATCTAACTAAGTGTTTTTAAGACACTCTTAGCGATTTTTCTAGCGGGTTACACATATTTGGACATATAGGAGAAAAATACGGTTCTTTCGCCTCGAAGATACTCAACAAAAATTATGGAGCATGTTTTCAGACGATACCCCGCCACGGTACACGGCGCCTTTTTGAGTGGCCAACGCGAGGCCGCCAATGTGGCTGACACATTTCTAGGTAAATTGTATTTCTTTCAACATGACCCTCTTTCCAGGCCGCCCCTTCGCCAAGGACTACACGCCCGTCTGTTTTGACATTGAATGATTTTTGTTGATGTTGTTAACCCTCCTAAGTTTTTCTGTATAATTCGTTGCCAATTGCCTTGTTTGCACAAACGTTCTCATTGTTTTATGGGTCTCACAATTGCACGATCTCATCAATAAAATTATTCCCGTGGGCAGCCAAGATCGCCGAAATGGCTGACGTCAAGCCCAAAGTAGTGCCGGTGGTCGGTGATGTCATAGTGAAGGTATACGGAATTGCTGAGAATTTGGCTTTCATTGTTTCTGGTAAGGGTGATTTTATTAACTTTCTTTATCGTGTAACCTCGTAAAATGCTAAATAAATCGTCTGTAGCTCATTATCGCCATACTCGGCGGTTTCTAGACGATTTAGCCTCCTTCCCCCCCGCTAACAACCCAGTGCCGGCTTACCTGCATTTGTCGTCTTCACCGTACGGATCCCCGGTGCATACATGATATGGGTCGTTGGCTGTCATGTTTCCGGGGAACCAGATCTGGAAATCGCACGGGGTTTTTATCCTTGGGGCGCGCACGAGAGGGAGACAGGGAATGGGCGAGGCCACGCCCCCTTTTCGCCCCCAAAATGTATTAGAAAATCCCTTTGAATGGCTATAACTTTTTTTCTAGAAAAAATGACAAATTCTCCGCCTGGCAATTTGTAGAGAAGACCCTCGGGAACATTTTGGTAAAAGAATCTCAGCGACTGCGAGGAAAAACAAGGATTTGAAACGCTTTGAAGCGATTATGAAGACGATGTCCTCGTTAGGGCCCCAGGTCGCCCCATTTTCCTAATTTTCTGCCTGAGATTCCCCACAGATTTGTTGTCGGCGCTTTTCTGAGTATTTTGCAAAAAAAGCAAAACCATGTCATGATTTTACGCGAGGAGAGGAATCGAACCCTGACCCTCCGCCTGACGCCGCCTTGGCCGCGCCCCCCGCACCCCCGTGCGCGGAAAAAAAACCCCGTGATCGGTTAACCTTTGCGACCTGCCAAAAACTTAAAGGGACCGCGACAGCCTAGAAAAACGAGCTCCCACCTCCTTGCCATGATGCCAGGGTCCATGATTTCTCAGTTGACCGCACGAATGTGTCCACGGATGCTCGTAGCAATATGGAATATGGGCTACCTAAAATCTTGGGGTTTTACGTTTTAGCGCGGTCTACTCTATAGAATGTAATACGAGAAACTAGCCAAGTCGTAGCGATGCACGACGCGAAACGACTCGTACATCAAACGTTCATGCGTCATCGCGAATTCAGCATTTCCCACGCGCGGCTCTCCGAAAGTGTACTGGAAGCGGAAAGCTCATGATTTTCCGGTATAAAATTACCTGTGAAACGTTTAGATAAGGGTGCCGATGGGCGAAAGTGGTGGCAGCTATAGCCGAGAGAGCTCCTCCGAGGGAATGTCCGGTGAAGAGCACTTTTGGGTGTTTACGAATCTGAACGGATGCGGTTTTTAGCCTCTACTGACCTTTAGTATCTTTCGGAGCACATGATCCATCGACGGCCAAATGGACTGTAGAGCCACGTAGAAATAGTGCTGTACAGACCCTCCGGCGCGTAACTGGAAATGACATCTATTAAATCTCATCCATAACTACCTACTTTTCGTTTTGGTTCGCCCATTGTCTCGATAAGCTCCATGATTAGTTGGAGACGAGACCGGGTACCGCTAAATCATTTGTTTACTACGGTTTCTGACTAGAGATGAAGCTCATAAAGTCGCGCTCACCTGAAGGACACGACGAGCCACTCGGGATCAAGGGTGACGATGGCCCAGCACTGACCTTGTGCAAGTGTTCGCCAGATATCTGTGAACCCACCTCATCGCTGAAGATGTCACACGGTAACGCCGTGCGGTACATGACCTCAGCGCCGTATTGCCTTGCGCATGGCCACGGGTCGTCGGCGTATGAGGCAGCTGGAAATAGAGGGTGCTTTTCGCCTATCGGGGAGGGGGGGTTTGCTTTTATCTATTTTTATCCTACAATTGTTTAGTAATGAAACCTGGTGTATTTTAATAGTGTGTTAGTAGTGCTGATAACTAAAAAAATAGGATAGACTTTAAAATTTTAAATACTGCTCACTTTTGGACCATTTTGGACCCAAACGAGATTTTAGGAAAAAAGTTGAAGCGCTATTTTTGGATTCGAACCAACCAGCAAAGTCAAAAGCCCGTCTAGCCAGCGTATAATTAAAGTCGGCGGCGAGAACTTTGGTGAAGCAGAAAAACAGGCAGGTCCATCGGGCCCACCACATCCTAAAAACGGATTGTAAATTGGGAAATGACTCGAGAATGGCATTTTCGATGTTGACCCGATTGGACGAAGGATGCGAGTCTATGAAAAAACAATAGGGCGGGTCAGGTGTTCTTTTGCTGCGGGGCATCAATCGATCACGACCATCGGTCATCACCCAATCACGATCATGCCCCGGGGCTATTTTAAAGGGGCGTGTAAGTGTATTCGGTCTGGACGTCCAGGAATGCCTAGTAAATTTCCAGCAAGTATCTTTATAGTGCTTGTAGTAAAATAGAACAATATTTCAAGTGGAAAACAATGAAAAAAACGGAACATTTTTTTAGTGGAAATTTTGGTCGTGAGCTCGCCAGTTCTGGTAGACAAATCCATATTTTTGTATTTGTAACGAAATTTTTTAAATTTTCTACGTATAGGAATCGCAAAAAAACACTTGCTCGCTATCAGAAAAATTGGCTCCTTAGAAAAAGAGGTTGATCCCGCCCCCCGATAATGCGAAAGAACACAAATTCATCAAAAGCCTTCAGGCAACTGTTAGAACGATAATGTGCCTCAATTTTAGTTTTGTTTAGTTTTTGACGATAGATAAAGCCAAAAACCAAATTATCGAAAAAATACGAAAGCTCTCAATTTATAGCGGTGTCTTACCTACCAAATTTTCATTTAGAATATGGAATCCAGCACAAATCAAAATTTCAGAAAACACAAATTTTCAGTCTCACTTTTTCGCCCTAAATAAATCTACCAAACTTGAATGAGCTGTAAGCTTTTCAGGAATATTTTGCTACCACGAGATTCCAGCCGTTTCAAAGCGCTCGAAAGATGTGAGTTCTTCGGAGAAGCCCTTCGCCGAGGACAAGGAACGGCTCCTCTCTGGTTCGTGTTTATTTTCAGGCCTTGTTTTGTCCCAGGGATGGTTATTTTTAGTTGAAAATAACGTTCGGAAAGGCGATTTTTATTCCGTAAATAAATAGGTTATTTTCTTTAGAACCGTCGGCCGCGACGAGTCGCAAAGTGGTGGTGTGGTCGGAGATTTGGGCCAAAGTCCCCTTCCGATTGGACAAGCGGGTCGTGCTCAAGGATGGTTAGTGATTGACAGGGATATTGTGTATATTATTATGGTTTCCAGTGTACGGCGCCGCGTTTCCCGGCGAGGTGCTGGCGATCATGGGCGGATCGGGGGCGGGCAAAACGACGCTGCTCAACATACTTACACAGAACTTACAAGCCAACATTGAGGTTGCTTTTTTAAACCTTTTTAAACTTTGAACATCGGAAATTAATGGGTGCGAGGAAATACGAGGGTTTTGGCTTCTCAAAATATTTGAAATTTTCTTAATATTCAACGTTTTCCTAAAAAAGCTCGTTTTTACGGTTGGAAACGACAAGAAGCTATTTCTCGCTTTTTTTGGGTCATAAAAACGAGAACGAAACGCGCTGGCTTGATACTTATCTCCTTAGCTAATTCTTTTTAGAAAACGGGACTCGTCCTCGTCAATGGAGAAGACGTCGACGCGATGGCGATGCGCCAAATGTCCGCCTTCGTGCAACAGGTACCTCCAAACCCATTTAAACCTTTTATATTAGGTGGACGTCTTCTGGGGCAGTCTGACCGTCCGCGAGCAGCTCGTCTTCTCCGCCGCCCTCCGCATGGGCCGCCAATACACGACGCAGGATCGGTTGCAACGTGTTGATGAGCTGCTCACCGAGGTCTGAATAAAATTGTATTCTACAGCTTGTTGTAGATGAACTTGAACGATTGTCGCGACACGATGATCGGGATTCCTGGCCGCACAAAGGGAATCTCGGTTGGGGAGAAGAAGCGCCTCGCGTTTGCCTGTGAAGTGGGTTCATCTACTGGTGTGTAAAGTATATCAAAATACTCGCCAGAGCAAGACGAACATTTTGGTATACTTTACACACCTGTAGATGAACAGGGAGACGAGATATAAAAGTTGGGTGCCGGCTGGGGGGGCAGGCCTGGGAATTTTTAGGGCCGAGATTTGGCGGTTTTGGCGGGCCGGGCCGGGCCGGGGCCGACCATGGGAAAGGTAGGGCCGGCCCGACCTTCCTGAACGATTTAGAAATCAATTTAAATGTGGTTATATAAAGCTAATCTTTACTATTTCCGCAGGTATAGAGATTACTCTATTTATCTACACAGCTTAAACAAACAAAAAAGCATTTTTGATCAAAATCACTTACCAGGAAAACGACCCGGGTTCGACCCCGCCCGAGGTCAATTTTTTGCTTTTTGCTTTTTTTCTACCGGAAACAATCTGAAATAACTGCAATGCCATTTGGCATGACCTGAGACATTAAAACGTACTCTCAGCTGATGTCAGTACTCCTCTGAGGCATGGCTTTAGTTAAGGTCAAAAGGTAGGGCCGGCCCGGGCCCAGATTTTGGCGGTAGGGCCGGGCCGGGCCGGGGCCCAAAATTTTGGGTTTAGGGCCGGCCCGGGCCGGCCTTTTCCCAGGCCTGCTGGGGGGTAAAATGCACTCTAACCCGACATTTCTGTCTAGGTCCTTCCCGATCCATCGATCCTGTTCTGCGACGAGCCGACGAGCGGCCTCGACGCGTTCATGGCGGGCCAAGTGGTGGACGCCCTAAAACGGCTGGCCGCCACCGGGAAGACGGTGATCACTGTCATCCATCAGCCGTCGCCCGAAGTCTTTGACATGTTTGACCGGTTTGTAACTGCTGGTTTCCGATGCTATAATTTTTGTGCTTCAGCGTCTGCTTCCTCGCGTTTGGCCGCGTAGCCTACCACGGCCCCACCAATCGGCTCGGCGAATTTTTGGACTCGATTGGGGACCCTGAACTCGCGTATGCTTTTATTTTGGACGTTACTCGGCGCCGGCTCCTAAATTTTTGTCGATGAAAAGGCTGCAAAAATCAGAAACGTTGAAAAAACTTGTCTTTTTTATCAAAAACGTACTAAATTTATACAAATTTATTTAATTTTTGCATTTTTAAAGGTGTCTAACTTGTCCGTAATTGGAAACTAATAAAAACACTAGATAAATAGTCTTATGTTTTATTATAATGGGTGTTAGGCTAAATAAAAGAAAATACAAAACAGCGTTTCTACGTTTTTCAGCATCCCATATGATCACGACCCGGCCGATCACATGATCAGCATCCTCGCCCTAAACGTCGAGACCCAGGGCCAGGATTATGATCGAATCAAGGTAAGTATTAACCAACGACATGGATCACCATCCATTCTAGCGAATCGCGGCCACATTCAAGAAGCACGAGATTGGCGAGAAATTGGCGCAGTTGATCAGCGGCGACGTGACGGGCAGTGTTCGCAAACTTGAGGAGGAGGGCAATCGGGATATCGGCAACAAGCCACGGTATAGGAACTCTGAATGCTATCCTCTTTTCACAGATACCAAGCCGACTTCCTGGTCCAATTCTGGACCCTCCTGAAGCGTGCGTCGCTGACCTGCGTCCGTGACCCACTACTCGTCAAGGTGAAGCTGGCCCAAGTTTTGGTGAGAAGCAATGCCTGCTGACGACTACAAAACCACGCTCCAGTTGACGTCGCTGGTGATCAGCCTGGTGAATTGGCGCGTCGACGTGCGGGCGGACACGGTGCAGAACATTGAGGGCGTACTGTTCAACACGGCTCGCGACATGAACTTTCTCTTCTTGTTCCCATCGATTGGGGTTTGCTATTGGGATTCGATGTTTATTATCCCAATTTAGGTGATTACCGCCGAGTTGCCGATTTTCTTGCGTGAACACCGGGCCAGGATTTACTCGGTGGATAGGTGGGTGAATTTGCAAATTGTGTGTATCCGTTTGTTTGCTTTAGTTACTATTGGGCCAAGACGGCCGCTGAAGTGCCCCAATATACGATATTGGCCATCGTCTATGGGTGTATCGTATACTGGATGACAAGTCAGAAATAGATCGGTTCTTACAAAGCAAAAAAATTCAGGTTTATTCGCCGGCGCCGCGCAATTCCTCAAATTTCTGCTGATCTGCGTGCTGCAGGCGTATGTGGCCATTTCGATTGGTAGGCTGGATGCTTTTACCTGATTTTCAGCGGCCCAGCTTGCTCAAGACTTTCATTTTTTTCAGCCACTGCCGGCGCGTGCGTCTTCGGAAGTGAAGGAGCGGCCATCACCTTCATCCCCATCCTCGTGCTCCCGATGCTAATTTTTGGCGGTTTCTACATCAACTACGCAGACATTCCGGTTTACATGCAGGTGGATTATTATTTATGGTCATCTTAATACGTTCATTTTAACTTTCAAGTTTTCTAAATAATTTTTCCGCACGAACTAAAGTTGGGTGAATCTTCATATCGCCGAATTTTCATTTTGCCGAATTTTCATATCGCCGAATTTTCATTTCGCCGAATTACGTATGAAAATCTATGTTGGAGACCTTGGAATTTACAATATTTTGCTCCGCCTGCCACATGATTTTGTCGGAGCATCAAAGAAGATAACTTTACCTTCGTTGAAAACCGCGGCACTGATGTTTGCTTCGACCTATTCCTGAAGAAGAGGCCGGCTGAGCTATATTTTATTGTTCGCTAGATAACGGGCACCGAAAAACCGGCTGAATGAAGCTTTGTGCAATAAACTTTAGACGAAATACACATTCGGCGAAATGACAATTCGGCGATATGAAAATTCGGCGATATGAAAATTCGGCGAAATGAATGTAAATCCTAAAGATGTTTTATTCAAGTACTAAAATAATTACAAGTATTACTTTACTAATAGAAGCCTAGACGTATAGAATAATTCGGATTGCCCGTTAAATATCAAAACCATTTTAGTGGTGGTGTCATCTCTCTTGGTTCCGCTACGGTTTCCAGGCCCTCCAGAACAACCAGTGGACCGCCCAGGGAACAATTCCTGGTATTAAATGGCCTTCTTAAAGAAAATAGTATCATCTTTCAGGTTGCCTGAGCATCGAGACGAATTCGGGCGGAAATTGCACAACTCAGACTGGACTCGACGTACTGCGCAACCGCGGAATGTCCGTCAGCGCCCTGAATTATTGGGTCAATGCTGGTGCGAATTTTTTTAAGCAATTTAATTCCAATTTGTCAAGCCATCCTCCTCGCGATGACGCTCGTCTCCCGATTCGTCGGGCTGATCGCCCTGCGGCTGCGCAGCTGAAACAACGCCTACACAAACTTTATTCTGCCCATTTCTTAATCATTGATTGTGATTTTCGGTATTTATGGGATAAATCTTTGTGCGCGTTTAGATATGGTTTCAGCTAGGCATATTACATCCAGAAGTTGCTCTCATAAGTAAGGGATCGCGCAGTTAGTCGCGTGCTGGTCTGTTAACCGGCGGGGGTGGGGGGAAAGCTTCCCTATCGCCCTGAAAGATGACGGAAGAAATTAAGCTTTCTTTTCTCTCTATTTTTATGCCGATTGATGCCGTGTTCAAGTAAACTAAGCTTTTAAAAGATCCTGAATTCGAAACTTTTTATTTTCTGCTAAAAATGAATAAAGTCAAAAATTTCAAATTTTTTATAAGTTTTTAGTAAACGATAACTACTAAAAACCAGAATCGGTTTTTTTATTACTATGGAGCTTAGGCAAATAAATTACGTTACCCCCCCCCCGCTAACGCACCAGAACCGAGTTTTCCTGTCAGTCTGTAAAGGTAGCCAGTGCACAATCTGTCGGCCAATTTTTTCGATCTCGTCACCCGCCTTTTTGGGGGTGAAGCGGTTGTGGGATGGTCATTGTGTAGGTGGTGTTCGGCTGCCCGGCTTTTCAGCCGGACCTTGGGACTCGATACAACGCGTAGATAACTGTGTGGTCGACGAGATGGACCAGGCTTTCCCTCCTCCCCTTCTCCTCCTTCTCCTCTCCCAGATACTATCGGCCTCCCCAGGCGTTGTCGGTCGAAATGGCTCCCGCTAGTTGAGCATCATTTCTGATGCCGTGAAGCTGAGGCTTCTGCTTCGATTTTTGGCACCCATAAGCTTTCATTCTAGCTTCTGAGCCAATTAAAGCCAAGATTCCGGCACGTGCTACGTTGGCGCCTACGACGGCTACGTTGCTTTCTTTGGCTTACAAGGATACATTTTTTGCTGTCCATGGAGTTTCAACTAAAACCTAGTTTTTAAAAGCTGCAAAACGACGAGCTTCGAAGTGCGAAAAAGCTCACAGATGCCTATTTTCTGCGCATCTTTCGCAATTTTTAAGCTTCATAATTTCCTTAATCCGGGGGCCTCTCGGTGTAAATAGGCGCCCACGTACATGTGCTTGAGCTTATTAAAAGCTTAAAAATTGTAAGAAAGCTAAAATGTTTATTTCAGGAAAATGGGCCTTCCCCACCACCTATCGCCAGTTCACCCCGGCTCTTCGAGGCAATTCATCCTTATTGCCGCCTATTGCATCGGCTTCATCTACCTGTTCAGCCTCTTTTTCCGGTCGGCTACGGTAAGTTTTTGAAGGCTGCCGACGGCATGTGTCGATCCCCCCTCATCAACAAATTGGCAAGTAGCCAAGGGGAGGGCGCCCAGGGAAGGGGCGGAATTTTCTTTCCGCGCGTAACCGATTGACTATGCCGTCGGCATCCCTTTAAACGGCTTTAAATAACTTATAAGGCTTTCAATATCGCTATATTCACCAATCGACCCTATTTTCAGGACAGAACAAATTTTTTCGAGAAAAACCACGAATGTGTGTTCGACAAGACGGGCGAGCTGGATGCCATTGAGGTTGGATTTTCAGCATGCCTATAATCTCCTCGCGCTTAGCTGTGGCGCCGATTGCCGCAAGTGGTGAACCAGTGCAGCGTTCGCAGTCGGCTGAACATTCAAGGATTTGTCAACACCGACGAGACAAAATACCACGTGATGCCCACTGGATATGTGAGAGTTTTAAAATTTTTTAATTTTTTAACCTTTCGATTCTTTAGTATTTCCGGAGGTACGACTTTTCCTATAGGGGCGGGCACGGCTCGTAATTTACCAATAATTACTTAAATAGTCGTTTTAGCAAGACTTTGCTTGATTTAAAGTCGAAAAACTTCCTAGAAATCCGGAAACCCTGAATTTTGGTCGAAAACACGGGATTTCTGGCCGAAAATCAATGTTTTTGGTGCTTTTTGACAAAACTTTGTCAGTTTAGAAACATTTCCGCTATTTATTTAGAAAAGGGATACTAGGGAAAAATTCGGTTTGCCCGAAAATACTAGAGAATCGACATTTCCATTTTCAGGCCTACGCCCCGGGCCATGAATGCGCGGTTATCTCGCTTGGGATTGGGAAGGATGTGGAAGCCGAGCGACAAATGCTGGTGCGTACAGTTTTTAATTTGCAGAGTTCTCCTTTAGACGGCCCTTCCGCATTGTGACTTCTTTGGCGCGGATCCGGTCAATGACACGAACGCCGATCTATATCCAGAGGTCAGTTTTGGCGCTATTTATAGCTTTGTGGCGGCGAAATTAAAGCTTATTTTTGAACCTCTAGGTAGGCCGCTTCTTCAACATTGCCGTTGGCGCGTCGAACGGGACGATGAAGGCTGAGATTTTGGAAGGTATTCATTTTTTTTAGTTTTTATGATTAGATTAGATAAAAATATAGCAATAGTATTTTTATGGTTTTAAAGAGTAATTAATAAGTTTTAATGATTTTAACGATAGCTTTTTTCCAGATCACTACAAATTTCGCGAGGTGCCGTATATTGACATTGCGACCTTTGTGCGAAGCTATGTCAAACGGTAGGTGGCGTAATATTCGAGGCAAATGGTCCGGATACAAAGGGAGTTAGCAGGGGAGCGGGCTGTGGTGAAATACATATAGACCTTTTCGTGGTATTTTATGCTCTTTTTAGATAGAAAAAGTTAAAAAAGACTTAAATTTTCGAAAAAGGTAATTTTTTACCAGAATCGAATGTTTGTGGTTTTGCGGCGGGTAAGATTCTTGTACCACAGACTACTAAAAACTGCTAAAAACACTATAAAATTATTTATATGTACGATTCTTCCAGCCGTGTTGTCGATCAAATGATGATCGACATTGAGCATGCCGAATATCCGATGCTCGACTATCTTCTAAAAGACGGTCAACTGGCGCGGGACGGTGTTGTTGTTTGCCAGGTTTGGCTGTAAATATGATAGCATTAAACTTATTTAACGCCAGATTAACATCGAAATTCACAACCCATCCACCGAGGAGAAGGAGATCTTCCATCGATTCTACACAAAGATGATGGCCGAACGACAGTATACGATGCTGACGGCCAGCACCGTTATTGGGCATATTAGGTGGGTAGTTTTCCATTATCGGGGGGGGGGGGGTGCAATTTTTTGCAAAGTTCAAAAATCCCCGCTAGCGCCAAATATTTTAATCTTGTTTCTAGGCAAAATTAATTATATCTCAAGTAAAAGAATTATCTGAAAAACTAGAAACATTACAAAAAATTTCAATTTTTGGTCGAAAAATCGAATTTTTGTATTTTTTTTGATAAAAATTTGTAAGTACACGCCACGACTTACACTGAATTCAACAAAAAACTCAAGTAATCGCGACCCGACGTTTTAGAATGTTCATGATTAATGACCAGGATGAGGAGTGCCATCAACGATACGTCGGCGATGCATATGAAAGGTACGTTCGCTGTACACAACACGGCTATAAAGCTTGTTGCTAGCACAATCGGATTTTTCAGGGAGTCCTCAACGGCGGAGAAGAAGGAGTAGCGCAGCAAAACAATACGGGCATTTCGATAAATTATTAAACCTAAAAAGTGCTGAATTTAGAATAGAGAACTACAATAATTTTTGGGTGAAACTATAGGAAAAAGAGGCTAGTTTTAGAATTTAAGCTACCGGAAAAGTTGTGCTGTTTTTCTGAAATTGCTAAAATCGATAAATAAACGTCAAAAACTGATTTATCGTGAACACAGATTCCAAAAAACGGTTCTAAAATTTTTTTCGCTCGCGCTTCTTAACCTCTCTGAATTTTGCTTTTTGCGTGTGAACAAGTGACGCGCACGATTTATTCGTGTAAAATTGGTGTTCAATGACGTCCCCGCAGCTTGTAGACGGCGCTGCGTGAGTAGCCGTTCTGAATAGTGTTATATGATAGAATTTAGATAATATAGAATATAAAATTAGTATAAGTTGCCCCACCGTTCCATCGTCACATTTGCAATAGGCGCCACTAACGCCATTCGGGCCAGGAGCTCCGGGTTGTCCGTGTAGCCCGTCGCTGCCCCGTTCGCCAGCCACACCCGCGTCTCCCTGGTCTCCGCGTTCTCCTAAAAAGAGCAATGACATGCCAATGACGTTTCCAAAGCTCACCAGGACGGCCAGGAGCTCCATCGTATCCCTTCAGACCGGGCTTTCCGGTTGGTCCCGGATTTCCACGCGCGCCTGGAAGTCCGGGCAACCCGATCGGTTTTGCTCCATCCTGTCCGGGGGCGCCAAGTCTGCCGGGGAAACCCTGAACGACGTTTTTATAGTTTTTTTTTGCCGCCTACCGGATTGCCGGGTGCGCCCTCGTCTCCGTTCGGGCCAACCGGTCCTGTTTTACCATCACGTCCATCAGTGCCGTCGTCTCCTGAAAGTTATGGGTGGCGTTAAGTTTGGGTTCTATCGCAATATCGGTGGGGGAAGCAACTTTTTCGGTAGAGACCCGTTTTCCTAGCATAAATAGCGGAAGCGAAAGTGTTTCTGAATTTTTTACTACTTCTAAGCATAAAACTTTACAAAATATTGTATTGGGAAAGCACCTTATTTTTTATATTACTTTAGAAACCTCTAAATATTGAAAAATTGTTAAAAAGACGTTAGTGTATTATAGAGCCGAATTTCGAAGCCTACCTGGCGGTCCTTCGGGTCCCGGCTGCCCAGGAATTCCGGGCGGACCAGGAACTCCTCGTGGACCCGCTAGACATTGGATACATCCTCCCCGATTGTCATTCAGAAGTCCATTCACCCCAGCGGCCCCTGGTAGACCGGACGCTCCAGCCAACCCGGGTTCTGAAAAACTGTTTCTGCCGCAAAAACAAGCAACTACCTCCAATTTCGCCAGGTAGTCCCTGAGCACCGGGCGGTCCACGCGGGCAATTCCTCGATCGAAGGCCACAATCTATACTTTTTCATTAAAAAGGTAAGAACCTTAATACTCACTGCATTGATCGTGGAGACGTTTCTTCTTGATGCGTCGCTTTTCACGGACCGTGAATGCGGACGGGATTCCGGCTGAACTCTGCGAGCCGACCTTCTGCAGCATCTGCAGTGAGTGCCAAGAGTCACCATGGGCCTGCTAGAATGTACATACTTTAATTGGGTTTTTATCACATTGGCATACCTGTGCTTCGGCAAAGTCGCGCAGACCATCCTGCAGCATGTCGTCGATGTCACCGAGCAGTACGACGCTCCAAACGATTGTGGAGAGCAAGACGGCGATTGAGGCCGCCGATGCGGCCAGGCCCACTTTGACAAGCATCTGGAATAAAAATTCGCCTTTGATCATTTTAAAGCGAATATTTAATTTTGGGGATGGGAAAGTAAAAGAAGGTGCTAGTTTGCTCGCGGGTGGGGGGCTAATTTCCTTTAATCAGCGGATAATATTGGCTATTTTATACTGTTTTAGCAGTTTCTGGTTACTAAAAAGTTATAGGAACTTTTAAACTATAATTTTGACAATTTCAAAATTTTCAAAATTTTTAGAGAGGCAAAATTTTGTGACAAATTTCGATAATTTTTAATTTTTTCTGAATGCTAAAAGGGCGTAAAATTCTATTAAACTAATTAATCTGAAGAAACGTAGGAAAAATTCTATATCCCTCTACAACCCCCCCCCCCCCCCCCCCACCGGATAGCAAAACAGAACCAAAAAGTAAAGGGAAGTAACGTCTGATGCTGATCGGGCCGTTGACCTCCCTGCATGAGGCGGGCAGGGCGCTATGGAATCAGCCTTGATACGACTCGTTGTGCGGGCAGAAGTGCTCGGCGTCTCTTTTTGCGCGTGGACCGAAAAGATGGCTGGGAGTGGGACGGGTTCCCCCTCCAGCACTTGGCGCCCACCTCACCTTGATTTGAGCACGAGCACCGCAATGGGCATGGAGAAACGGCTACCAGTCTTTTTTCCGTGATTGGCAATTTATGGCTCACATGATCAGATACAGGCCTGGGAATTTTTAGGGCCGGCCCGGGCCGGGCCGAGATTTTGGCGGTTCTGGAGGGCCGGGCCGGGCCGGGGCCGACCATATAAAAAGTAGGGCCGGCCCGGGCCAGCACTACCTTCCTGAACGAATTAGAAATCAATTGAAATGTGGTTATATAAAGCTAGTCTTTACTATTTCAGCAGGTATAGAGATTACGCTATCTATCTACAGGGTGTCCCAAAATTATCCGGACAAACTGAAAACTGACTTTTTCAATTTTTTCGCTGTTTTCAGCCTCCGCATTGTATTTCATAATATTTTTTGAGACATTTTCGGTGCACCGTGCAAAAAAATTTCTTGGAGAACGCAAAATAGCTGCCGCAATCGAGCGAAGAGCATGTTAGAATTTTTCGCTTCTTAAATAAGATAAAAATTGCGGTAAACTTTCAAAATGTGTTCAGACGTTTTTGTGGGCAAGAAATGACGTGTTCTGGCAAAACGGACCTAACTCCGCCAAGATTCCGACATGTTAATGGTCATTTTTCCGTTTAATACCGATTTCCATCCCATTGCTGGGCAAGGTGTTTCGATGCTTGCTCGTGCTCAAGCTACTCAAAAATCAAAGTTAGCTTAATTTAAATAGCTTGTGCATCATCGTTACCGCCAAAAGTTTATGCCTGTAGTCTTTGACAATAATCATATCGCATTTTTAGGGCTCCTCCAGGGCAAAACCTTTAAGGCAACCGGGGCGGCGCGTTACTCGATTTCAACTTTTTTGCTGGCTGTTTTTTTCTGGTGCAAACCTAGCGTTTTTGGGCCGGCTACAGTGTTGACTGGTCATTTCCGAACTCTTCCTGTGGTTACTTCGCACCTCCGGTCATGCTGAAGTTTCTTACGGGATCGGAAAGCAAGCGCGTTTTCAGCGTTTGCAAGGAGATAGAAATTTGGTTCGAACTTCTCCAATTTATTCCGAAGAGATATGACGGATTCACGCGCAATTTTCTTTTTAAGCTTATTGAATACACTTCAACGATTCATAGAAATTAAATTATGGTCTGCAAAAACAGGGAAAAAAATAGGAAAAAGCCGCTTTGCAACTTTGTCCGGATAATTTTGGGACACCCTGTACACAGCTTAAACAAAAAAAAGCGTTTTTGATCAAAATCGCTTACCAGGAAAACGACCCGGGTTCGACCCCGCCCGAGGTCAATTTTTTGCTTTTTGCTTTTTTCTACCGTAACAATCTGAAATAACTGCAATGCGATTTGGCATGACCTGAGAAATTAAAACGTACTCTCAGCTGATGTCAGGACTCCTCTGATACATGGCTTTAGTTAAGGTCAGAAAGTAGGGCCGGCCCGGGCCCAAAATTTGGCGGTAGGGCCGGGCCGGGCCGGGGCCCAAAATTTTGGGTTTAGGGCCGGCCCGGGCCGGCCCTTTCCCAGGCCTGATCAGATAGTTTTAACCGTTTTCTAAATAAATTCGAATCTGGTTATCGTCGGTCTGAAAACTCGTGCAATGGGATGTTATCACATTTTATTCAGCGAGACGACATGAATGTTAGTATTAAAAACGTATATTAAATCGTTGCCGGAAATACGGTACAAATTAAGACAGAAGCAAATTTGGTGGTCGAATGACGAGAATGTGGTGATGAATTGCGATAGGCTTCTTATTTTCCAGAGACGTCCTTCGCGATGCGGTTCACGGGCGACGGCGACGGCAAGGGGCTGCTGGGTAAGTGTGTGCCGACCGGGTACACCTCAATTTTTTTGTTAAAGATCAAGGAAATTATTGAACCTCGACGTGCGTGAACTGCATCGCGTTACCAGGAGCATCCTTCAGGACATCACGCGCATCCCGGGTTTCAGAATCGCCCACGGCCATCGACTCCACCTAAAAAACCGAGTTCTGCTTTTTTCCGATAGTTCCAGGATCCTACTATATATAAAAAAATAGTCTCTGTGTGTGTGTGTGTGTGTGTGTGAGTGTGTCCGTGCCACTTTGCATGCAACATCCGTCAGCGTGTTCCAGCAGTATCTCAATAAGGGGGTCAGTTAGGGGCATGTATTATACCTCATTAGGTGCGTAATGGCCTTGGGATGACTGCACAATAACAAAATTTTCAAAAATTATGTGTTTTCGACGTTAAAATTAAGTTTTTGTTGAAAAATCCAGGACCCTCTTTGTTAGGAAACAATTAGCATACGCCGGAAGTGGCGGAAGCCTATATGAAGGGAAGAGAGGTAGCGTTTCTCATTATTTGTCATCGAAAATCGCTAGAATGATGCCAAGTGAAGAATATCATGGGATCAGAAGGGGCCAGGGTTGAAAAGTCGCGAAGCGGCTTTTCAACCCTGGTAGTCCAGTAAAAATAGTGTTTTGAAGTGTTGGACGCAAAATTAACTTTTTGATTAGAATTTGTAATGTTTTTATGCACAATAAGAGTTGAAAAGCATTTAAAAAAACTCATTATTTAAATATAATATTTAAATATATATAAAATCTAGTGTTGCCGTAGCCAAGAACCCAATTCCGAATTTCGCACCTTAATCTTCTGCAAAACGTTGAGCGGCTTGGCAAGTGTGATAACGATGACGGCCGTCTTCTTCGCCTCGATGTACCCATAGACGGGATCTATCCGAAAGTACGAGTTGTCCGAGCAGCGCATCTTGAACGCCCGTCTCTCCTTCGAGCCGTTCGTTAGGGTGAGCTTGACCTGTTGGTCCCCATCCTTCCATACTATCTTGTCGTGATCTACCTGACCATCCAAAGTAGGGATCTCAAATGCTTGTAACCTACTTTCACCACCGAATCCTTGTTGAGGATGCGCGGATCGCCGGCATCGCCATCCTTTGCCTTGGCGGCTTCTTGCTTTAGCCTCTCCTCGGCTTCTTCTTTCAACTTTTCCTTGCAGTTGGCGCGAAAGAGTGCCTCCTCCTCCTGCCGAAGCACTTCATCCAGATCCTGAAATGACAGTGAAATAGACGGAAAAAGCCTACGAATTGTTGCGTGACATCAAACGTCCTATCTTGGATTTTGTCGGGTGGAGTGGGGGGTGGCTGTACAGAGGCTTGCTTGCTCTTCTCCTTGCGCTTCTTCTCCCCACCCTTCGGCTTGTTTTTGTCGGCACCTAAAGGCGAAATGGGATGAATGTCGATGCATGAAGTCTCACTCTTTGGTGCCTTTGCCCCTTTTGGGGCTTTCACTTCCTTGGCCTGCGAGTTCCCTTTGCTTTTCGACTTCCTGACTTTCGCCATTCAGTCGATCCCGTCGCCCTAAAACAACTGATCCTTGAAAATAAAAACAGCAACCATGCCTTTTTAGCGGAACTTTACCTCGAGGCTGGCCCGTCTTCGATCGAATCGCCGCACCCGTGGGTCGTAGGAAGGTCAGTGAACTCGGCCGCGCATTAGAAACCGGCAACGAGATCTCAAAAGCCCCCATTCAAATTCAGCATGCAACAACACTGCAATTGCTTGTCCAAAAGTCCGATCCTCAAACTAAGCTAGCGTTTTGCTTTTGGCTCTCTCAAGCCTACTTCAGCAGTTCCAAATGAATTTATTAGCTAAATAATGCGAAAGTTGCAAAAATACCATCAAGAGAAGACAACTCGGTTGTATATAACTTATTAACAGGCAATTGCTCTTAATGTCTAACGGGCGCATAAATTCTGAGAAGGAACAAGTATCTGAAGCAGTCGATTCCAAATTAAGACGATGACGAGGCGGCAATTTGTGAAAAAGTGAGGATGAGTATGCATAGAAGAATGTTCGGTGAGGGATGTTCACATCAAGGTGCAGTAGCGCTTCTTCCCCTTTTCTTTGGTGTTGAGTCGGTGCGTGAAGACGTTGGCAACGATATCACCGGATACGTCGTTGAACTATAAAGGGTAATACAAGTTTCACTAAACGTGGAAAGATACCTGCATGGCCGATAGGTCCTTGTCGCTGAGGCTAGCGAGTCGATCTACCAGAATCGTCATCGTAGTCGAGTTTGGGTCGCATTCCTTGACCGCTTGCGCCACCTAAAGATCCAGTCGGGCAATACAAAAGAAGGATACCTGCAACAGCTTGTTCTGGTCGAGGTTCTTGGCCGCATTTTCGACAAACGCCTCGCACCGGGCGACCACCATGCGCATCTCGAAGCGATTAGCGATCCGCAGCACCGAGACCACATTCGCCGCTAAAATTGGGGTACCATAAAATCAAAAAAATAAAACGTACTGGTTAGGTGTTTGCGGTAGGGGCAGTAGAAAATGCAGCGCATGAATTCCAGCATGTCGGCGTACGGGATATCGTCGACCACGAGCTGTTGGCTGCCACGGCGATATTCGGTGCCGAAGCAGTAGTCTGCGAAGAATGACGACATCTCGGCCAGCCATCCAGCGTTCACGAACCTAAAGAAAAAACAAATTGAGGCGACCAAAAATCCTACAGCTTCTTGTCTTCACAAACAATCTCGAATTTTCGGCAGACCGTCGGCATTGAAAAATCATCATATACCGCCTTCGTTACAACGATGTCGTTGTTCATCTAAAAACGTTGTTTTCTTCAAAACCATTCGGGAAAAAGAAGCAGAAAAGAAGAGGCAACTGGGTGCGCTAGTTTTCTGCGTGTAAATGCAAACTATTTTAAAACTTTTGACTCAAATCTTGCCAGAAAAGGGATAGAACGAGAACCGAATTAATGAGCAAACCGTGTTTTAGCAAGGATGGGGTGTTTTTATTGCTTTCAACGACTTCGTCTTATTCGACAAATCATCAATAAAAAAATAAGTTTTCCAGGGGTTCTAGTTTTCAAATCCGGCACGACGAAAGTAGGTCTAAAATTTAGTCTATAAATCGACAAACATATTCTGCCTTGGCATCTATTACTTAGCAAATTTATAAGAATGTTTAATTTATAATTAAATAAAATATAATTTAAACCAGACCAAACCTATGCTAATTAAGGAAGATTCCTGCCTGTAAGCGAACTAAAGGACATCTTCACCGGGCAACTCTACTCGCAGGATGAAATACCCATATTTTTTCTAAGTTTTATTGTGATTTTCTAATGCAGTGTCGTGATATAAATACAATAGACTCATTACACTTCCTTGCATCGGTCCCGAGCAATAGAACCTGCTAAAATCAGGTTTAATACGTAATTTAAAGGTTTTAAAGAGGGAAAAGCCTAGCTACGGCCCGTTTGCCGCCGTCAGGCCCGCGCAATCCGGAGAGCCGCGCAACGGTCCGCCATTTTCCAGATTGCGCGGGCCTGGGGGCGGACAGGTCTCCAGGTCCGCCCTTTCCAAACCGAGAGTGAGTTTTTCCGCAGTCGATCTTCTCACCGCCGTTACGGTACCAGCCGCGTTTTAGGAAACAGAGTAGAACCCCAGGAAGCTTTTCAGCGCGTTTGGGAATTTTTTGTTAAAGAACATTTCGGGTTGTATTTCCATGTCCCGTTTTGCCATTTATTATACAAATTAGTACACATCGAGTAATGAGAGCAAGCATTTAGCGGAATTAGTGGGTAAATTCATTAGTTATCTGCAACAAGCAGGCCGCCAGGAAGACACAATACGAGCAGGAATTGGAAGCCAGCAAACCTGCAAATACGTATTTAATGGGGAAGCCGGTTTGGAGCCTACGGATTTTGAGCCGGCGAGCCTCCGGATCTGTAGGCAAGGCATCCGTACTGAAACAGAACGTCTCAATGTAGTGTATGCTAACTGTTAGTCGTTAATTTGTGTTTACTCACGTAAATCCTGTATCGGGACAGGCCTTCTTGTGCTTGCGAGATCCTTCTGGCTTTCGTAGCTGGTAGCTAAACCACAACTCTTCAGGAGCCTCCAGAAACCCTTACTAATACGAGTTCGCGCAGCTCGTCCCGACGCGGTGAAGACCCATGGGCCGCGTACCGGCTTCCAATCCACATACATAGCACATCTGCTCCTGAGTGATCACCTCATGGAACTGAAATTGAAAAGAAAATTTCAGGCTGCGTACGCCATCCAGGCCATACTTCTAGGACAATTCCCTGCCGCGAAGAATTGTTTCCGGCGATACGGGAAAAGATTTTCAAAAGCCCTTCCAAAATTGGGATAAATAAGGAGGCAGACGGCACAAATTGCGCTAATAAAAGCCAGTTTTCGCCATCGAAGAATCAAAACTAGAAATTTTCGAAGCAAAAGGTTCAGGCGATCCATTACGCTGGCCCATTTACACTGGGGCAGACCGAAAAAACCGACGCTGTTTGCCGCCGTCGGATGGGGCGCGTCTGGGGGATTCGGTGTTTCGAAAAATAGGTCCTCCGGGCGTTGTAGGAGAATGATCGGAAGGAACTGGAAATGATTGTGTAAGTTAGAAAAAGGACTTCCACCTTTTTCACCTCCCAGAAGCGGACGACGGCCGCCCGGTGGGTGTACAGCGGCCAATTCTAAAAACAAAAAAAAAACCCTAAAAAACTAGGAAATCCCATACCATACACACTGTTTGGATGACCAGCGGAGGCATCAGGACCAGTGACAAAACCCACGGGCGCTCCAGCGCGATTTGCTCAACAATTGCGGGTTGCTATAAATTTTTGCTTGAAGAAACTCGAAAGTTTTGAAATTTCTGGGCCCCGGGTCGGAATGAGAAACTCACCATAGCAAAAATTTTTGACGTTCGTTTGAACGACACATACATCTGCGGCTTGTAGACGAACGCCGGGGAGTGCTTCAGCTGGAAAATGTGATTACTCGGGAATCTATCTTTTTCCTAAAAAGCATGATCTCGAATATTGTTTGCATCGAAGCCCCCACCCGCAAACCGGCAAACCCGAAGACCCCCCTCCCCTTACTACTTACGTTTTAAGGCATCGGGAGTCAGTTTAACAAATTACTAAAAATGAACAGCTCGGTAAACAATCTATTTCGTAAGCATCGCTTTTGGGCTAGCCTGTACTAATAGAAAATTTTAAATTTTGCAGCTTTTGTAAAATGCCCTCACCTTACTAGGGAGGTCCAAAATACCCACAACACCGATCGGGCTGAAAATTTGTACACTTATAGAATCGACCACGCTGATAATCGCCTCGTTTTCCGAATTTGCCACAGAGCCTTAAAATTTGAGATATTAAAGTTTTAAGTCGATTCCTTAGTTAAGATTGCCGAACTTCGGACTCGATTATTTTTACCTTTTTGGCAGATTTCCGAATACAAGCATCGCCATCGGCCCTCTAACTCAAAATTTTCGAAAACCCGAAAAATTGGAAAAATTGACGATACTTGGTATGGACTCCGAATTTACTACGGGAAATGTTAGAAAACAGCCTACTTCAAGGAGCTGTAGGATAGCGTCCAGGTCCTTTGTGCATTAAGGAAATATACCATTCGAATGAGAAAAAATTCTCTATCCGATAGGCTACGTAAAATAACTAGAAAAATACAAAAAAAAGTTCGATATCCTGACAAACCCCTTCCCGGGGACCCAAAAATGACACTAAGACTTTAATATCTCAAATTTTGAGGTTTTGTAGCAAATGGGCAAACGAGGCGAATATCAGCATGGTCGATTCTATAAGTGTACAAATTTTCAGCCCGATCGGTGTTGCTGGTATTTTGGACTTCCCTAGTTAGTTTTTGCATCTACCAAATTGCCGTCGATCGGCTTGCAGGGCCGCGACTTCTGAAGACTTGGGGCTGACTTGGGGCGCCTATTTGAAGAAGACGTGGACGAGGAAGTGCCCTAGAAAATTTGAATACTTTGGATAACTTGAAAATTGTCTACCCTCTGTATAACAGTCAACATTTGCAAGATCGGCACCCACATGGCGTCGAACGAATAAAAAAACGATTTCTTGCGCCGCGGGATTTCGACAACGACACCGTGCAATTCTAATTTCTGCACGGATAATTTACGCAAATTAGTTACAAATTATGCTCAGAGTTCGAACTTGTTTAAACTCGCCGTGCCCTCTAGCTTTTATTGATTTTCCGTCACTCTCCGGTCACTGGCTGTCAGATATTAAGAAAACTCACAAGGATACCTCCCCAGCTCGAAGTTCAACTTCGGTTAGCTAGATAGCGTATCACATGCAGTTTTTCGCGCTGATCACGATCCCGATATTTATTTTTGCCCAAATCCATAGGAACACCATGAAAAATCATTTGAAACATTGTGCATTTTTGCATGGCTGGGCGTGAGCCGCCTCACGCGCTTCAAAGCCTCTTTCCAGTGGGAGGCATCCATCGGTGGCATGGTGTAGTCGGCAAGTAATTGGTCTACCAATCTAGGGGTCACTAGTTCGAGTATTGGAGCTGACGACTTTTTTGCTTTTTGGATAAAAATAGCTGTGAAGGCCAGATGGACGCCCAGTAATAAGATTTCTAGTTCTTTTTGGCCCATTTGTCACCAATTGAAGTATTTTTGGCAACAACATAGCATCGGTCTCATAATGATTATCAGTAATTGTGCCATTAGAAATTCTTCTTCCTACCTCGGAGCAGATAAAGCTAGACATAAAAATCGAGCGTAAGCAAAGTCCAAAAATTCCTTGTCGGAAACTCAAAACATTTTTGAGCGAGCACTACAATTAATGACGATGATTGAAATGATGATTGATACCTCGATAATTCAAAATTTTGTTCACCAGAAAGAGTAAAACTGAACGTAAAATCGCAAGCGAACCGACAAACCGATGCAAAACCGATAAAAATCTTATTACTGGGCGTCCATATGGCCTTCACAGCTATTTTTATCAAAAAAGCAAAAAAGTCGTCAGCTCCAATACTCGAACTAGTGACCCCTAGATTGGTAGACCAATTACTTGCCGACTACACCATGCCACCGATGGATGCCTCCCACTGGAAAGAGGCTTTGAAGCGCGTGAGGCGGATCACGCCCAGCCAGGCAAAAAAATGCACAATGTTTCAAATGATTTTTCATGGTGTTCCTATGGATTTGGGCAAAAACAAATATCGGGATCGTGATCAGCGCAAAAAACTGCATCTGATACGCTATCTAGCTAACCGAAGTTGAACTTCGAGCTGGGGAGGTATCCTTGTCAGTTAGTAAAGCGCCAGTTGACACGCCAAAATGATGCAAGCGCCAGCTAACGCGCTACCAGCACAGGTGACCACTAAAAGCGCAATTTCTGACCCGAAATAGCCGGGTAGGGTACTCAAGGCCAGGATTTCTTATCATGCTCACTCGAGTAATTCAAAAATGTCTCTGTGCTCTGACCCCGAGACATCTGCTAACATGGGGAAAGAATTCCAGGGTGAATTTTCCACATGTTCGAGCATTAATGTCGTCGTAGACTTACCGTAAATCGATCATAAAAACAGTTAATAAGTTGTTTTATGATTTCTTTTACTACTAAAAATAAACTAGGCTTGATAGATCCAACAGAACGGATTGATTTTAAAGATGAAGGAATTAAAAATTGTCAAAGCAAGAATTAAAAGTTAAGTTACGGAATAATGTTAAGGATTAATCGGATTACTTCTACAGTGTGTGTCAAAACGATAGAGTCATTCATTTGAACGCTATTATCTCGGCCCTCGTCGAGTTTGACGTGAAGTCAACTAGCAGGTCTTGTAGTGCTCGGAAAGGCACATTTTTCCATCTACTCGAAGTTGTTCAAAAATAGAGCCCTCTAATTTATAAGCCTGAGAACAAAATAGGACCAAAACCAGTTTTTTTACGACTTACTTTTTTACGTAAGCATATTAAAAACGCAATTTTACGACTCATTACTTATGTCATTGCGCTATGCACGCTTTATTATCCGAATCACTTTCTAAAATATATAAATACAATGTTTTAGCATATTGCAGTAAACAGCGTGAATCTAGGTCAAAGGTCTCAACGACGACATCCTACTATATATAAAAAATAGTGTCTGTGTGTGTGTGTGTGTGTGTGTGTGTGTGTGTGCCACTTTGCATCCACTTCCGGATGTCTGTCCTGAGGATATCTTCATGGAGATGCGTTTTAAGGTATGTATGATACGTCATTAGGTGCGCAATGGTCTTGAGATGACTGCACATATATCAGATTTTACAAAAACAGCTATTTTCGACGTTAAATTTAAGCTTTTGTGAGAAATTATTTGTTAGGAACGCCCTAAGTAAAGTACTAAAGTAAGCCGGCTCAGCAGCCCTCAGCCTTAAATAGGTTTTTCATTAGTGTCCGCGGAAGCTCAGTCTCCTTATGAACAGATGTCTAGGCAAGACATCGAGAGAGATCCCAGCGCCTGATAAGAAATCCTGGCCTTGGGTGCCCCGTCCGAAATAGCCAACCGGCGTAAAAGCGCTATTGGTGCAAAAAAGCGCAACTTCGCGGAATTTCAAGTCTTGTCAGGACCATTTTCTAAGAAAAGCGCCATCGGGCGCATTTGAATTCCGAACACCTTTCAAAACTGCGAAAAAATGACTAACGCAGGGAAAAGTCCGCCAGATTTTGGCCCGATGGCGGCCAGGCTGCCCGATTTTGGCCAGCTTTTGGCCAGCTTTTCGCCTGAAGGCGGCGGCCATGTCACCTGGCGAAAACCTGGCGGCCATCGGCCCAGACCTGGCCGCCAGGTTCCCGCCCGATGGCCGCCAGCCCGCCCGGTTTTCGCCACCTGGCGGCCAGAATTTCGCCAGGGGTTTTTACTACAATGTCGTACCGCTTTTGGCCAGAAGCTGGCGGTGGCACCGCCGTTACAGCCTTAAAGGGATACCGACGGCATAGTCAATCGATTACGCGCTGGAAAGAAAATGTCTCTGCGCCTCTCCCCCCGGGCGCGCTCTCTGCCCTGTTGGCTACTTGCCAATTTGTTGATGGGGGGGATCGACACATGCCGTCGGCAGCCCTTTAAAGGGATAGGGCCTTAATGGGTCCGGCATGAGTCAATCGATTACGCGCGGGAAAGAAAATGCCTCTGCGCCTATCGCCTGGGCGCCCTCTCTCGTCGCCCCATCTCTTTAATTAAAACTGCAACGAAGTACAAGTACACTAATTACGGAATTCGTAAACGGATTGTGTCGTATTATCGCTGGGCGGATTTTTTGGTCCGATTACGTGGGGGCAAAAGGGGGCTGGGCTACGGTCATTGGGTCACGGCATTAGGGTGCAGGGGCTTGGCCGGGTCTGGGGGCTCCGAGAAGAGGCGAAAAATGCTAGTAAAAGTTAGAAACAATTCAAAATCTCTTTAAAACGCGTTTTTCAGCAACCGTCAACTTTAGGAATCGAGAGAACAAATAATCGCGGATTTTTTGAGCATATAAACTGCCAAATCGGTAAAGTCACGCTTCCGTTATAGAACAGGCCGGATTTTCGCACATCAACCTTGGGGATTTAAGCGATGTTTTGCCACATCCGGGACTGCTAGGGTACCCAAAATAGACTATTTTTTGTGCTGATAGGAAAATGAGCTATTTTATTACCCATGACGTCAGATTTTCGAGCTAAAAGCAAATTTTGGTGAAATTCATTGAGGAAACACCAAAATTTCGGGACCTGGGTAAATAAGTACGCTGGAAACGATAAAATACAAATCAACGTTAAACTTTTATTTTGCTGAGAATTTATTATATGCTAAATTTTTGGCAAACGAGGTGGTACGTTATGATACTCGTTACGACGCTACGTCATTTGAATTATGCCGTAGCCGGCCTTCGCCCTGGACCTTCGTTGTTTAGCTGTATTGGGTGTGGCGGTGGCCGCCAGGTTTCCGCCCGATTTCCGCCAGTTGTGGATAGTACTACAGGGTGGGTCAGAAAATTGTTCCGAAGTTTGTCCCCGAATAACTTGAGAAGGAAAGATATTTGCCCATGCGTTACCATGCCAGAATGCTTAACTATGTCAGGAATAGAGATTGAGACCAACTCGATTTTTTCGATTTTTGAGTACGCAACTGTACTATTGACGCTGGTTACGACCGAAAATTGTGCGTTCTGGAACGGGTGGTGAGAAAATTCTGATTTTTGGCCGAAAAATAGCTGACAATTGTAGAAAGATAATAGCAAAGTTTTAGAATTTTTAAAGGTCTAGTTATTTTTTTAGAAGCGAAACAAATTTCCGTATTTTGCCTTTTTTTACTTTTTGCCTTGCAACTCGCTTCAAATGCGCTGCCCATGGCTGATCTTTTGCAAATGATGTCTCCGAATGATAATCTTTGGCACCACACCAGTTTCCACCTGCTTCTATGGTATTTTATTATTGCTTGCTAAAACGTGCCCCAGAGGGATACTGTAGTTTTTGTTTTTCGAGTTTTTCTCTTGACTCTAAGCTGCGATCTCGCTGAAAATTTTAACATTGGGAAACAATGGTATGGGGCAGATATGGACCAAATATCGCCGCACTCTATCCACACACTTTCTTAAAGGGATGCCGACGGCATAGTCAATCGATTACGCGCGGAAAAGAAAATGTCTCTGCGCCTCTCCCCCAGGCGCGCTCTCTGCTCTGTTGGCTACTTGCCAATTTGTTGATGAGGGGGGATCGACACATGCCGTCGGCAGCCCTTTAAAATATGCTAAAAACTGATTTTTGAATTCTGCCACGGAAATTTCTCAATATTTTAATGGATCGGACCCAAAAATGCTATTATTTGTTTTCTGAAAAGATTGACACGATTCTATGGTGAAAAGATCACGAAAACGACGATTTTCTGTTTTCTACAGTAACCCGCCTGGGGCGCGTTTTAGCATGCCAAGACAAAATTCCATAAAGTGCCGGTTTTCGATTCTAGACTATTCTCTGGGTGATTGTAAGAGCACATGCAAAAAATTACTTCATTCCTGTGGCAAATGACAAAGTTATGAAGGAAAGAGGAAAACCCG